GATCCACGAAGTCATGGAACAACAGACAGTCACCATCGCGAAAGCTGGTATCCATACTAGTTTGAACGCCCGGTGCAGCGTCGTTGCCGCTGCCAACCCAATATATGGCCAAGTGCGCCAACTCATTTTTATTGAATTTTGGAGTCTGACTACATTATTTGCTAGTATGATATCCATAAAGATCCTCATAAGAATATCGCACTACCTGATTCCCTTCTTTCGCGTTTTGATCTTCTGTTCATTGTCACCGATGATGTTGATGAAGAACGGGACCGCAGAATTGCAGATCACGTACTGCGTATGCACCGTTATATGCCACCCGGAGTTGAAGACGGTACTCCTGTGCATGACAACCTGTCACAGCCCCTTGCCATCGACGGACCGGGTGTACAATCAGCGGAGGTGGATGGTGGGATAGAATCCAGCCCCTTCGAGAAATACGATCCCCTACTTCACGTTGGCTTAACGGCCGCGAAGTCACGAACACGGAGGGGCAAACAGGTGAAGACGGAGGTGTTAAGCATCGCTTTCATCAAAAAATACATTCAGTATTCGAAAAGCAAGCCTGCTCCGGTTCTCACGAAGGGCGCGGCTAATCATATTGTGAACGTTTACGCCAACCTTCGCAATGAGGATGAGGGTCAAACCAATAGGAAGAAGGTATATTTTTTCCCAGCATCTTGACCTATGCTCCATTTTGATGGACCATATCCAGACAGCTCCTCTAACAGCACGTACACTAGAAACTCTCATCCGTCTATCCACCGCTCATGCCAAGGCACGTCTCTCTGTCAAAGTGGAGTCCGAGGATGCTCGTGCGGCAGAGGAGATCATGCGGTATGCACTTTACAAGGAAGTTGCAAAGCGGCAAAAAAAGAAGAAACGTAAGCTTAACCGCGTGGGAGCGGCTGGTGGGATGGACGAAGATGACTCTCAAGATAGTTCCGATGAAGAGGAAAATGATCAGGGTGAGGATGAACAACCGGAGGTCCCCGAACGCATGAGCATGCCTCCTCAAGTACCGGCCAATAAACAGCCTGCAATCAATCAAAGTAGTCAGGACACGTTGTGGAATGACAGCAGCCAGGATCTCGCGATGGATACGTTACCAGCGGCTGCTACGGGATCATCACAGGAGGGCGGTGTGCCTCCAGAAAGGTTAGCGTCCCTTTTTCGCCACCCTCCCACGTCTCCGGTTTATCACTGGAGTGGAGCCCTGACTTGAAAAGTATAATTCTAACTCATGTTTGTTCCATGTGTTTTCATTTTGATAGGCTACAGCTTTTCCGTGCGCGGCTAGCGAACCTTTTTTCCACACGTCTCCAAGACGAGGAACAGGTATTCTTGGCGGAACTTGTGGAAATGATCAACGATGGTCTACCCACGGATGCATTATTTGGTACTGCGGAGGCTACCGCGGCATGTCAGGTCATGTCGGACGCAGATGAGCTCATGATTAGCGAAGGGATCGTCTACAAGGTCTAATACCCCTGATCGTGGGTTGTGTTCTCGCTTGCTTATCGTCTCATTGTGTTGTGTCACATTTTCTCCTGGTTGTAATAATAGCTGAACTCGAGACATCAATATGAATGATCTCTACCGTATCCATCACTGTAATGACTGGAAGTCGAAGCATGTGGTGATCCATAAGGTCTGAACCGACGATCAGAAAACCAACGTTGAAGTCCTGCCATGGTATTATTGTCCTGTGTTCCTAAGGCAAAGCGATGGTTCGAAAAATAAATACCATGTGCTCCTCGCAAGATGAAACATATCTCTCACGATTCTCCCCTCACACCGCTACACGGGCGCTCATCCCTGCACAGTCGGTAGCTAAACGTCTACAGATCATCACGCAGTCGGAGCACCGTCTTCACCTCCTCTTTCCCTAAACCCCCTGATCCGAGGCTCGTAGCGACATCCAAAGCATCCTCCCAACCATCTCCTTGACCTCCAAGGACTTCCTTCACGGCCCTATCCACTTCCTGCCTGCGTGCACCGAGAAGTCTGCCCGCGACTAATAACCGTGCCCAAGGACCCTCAGCCCTGGCCCGCGAAGTTCTCAAGGCGACCTGACAGGTTTCCGCCCACAATTCACTTTCCGCATGTACGGAACGTGCCTGCTCCCGTGAAAGTCCCGTCCGGAATTGTCCCCGGGTAAGTCCGGGGCGAAACAGAACTTCGCGCTGAAGAATGTGCTCGGAGATGAGTGTTGCTATCCGCCTATATACTTGCGTTGTCACGGCAGTCGGAAGCGTGTTACGGAGGAAGGTGAGGTGAGCAGACAAGAGAGCAATAGATGGGAGGAGACTTGGGGGCACGGCGATGCCGTCATCTGCATTTTGAGCGTCACTTCCATCCTTGGGACTGTGATAACGGTCACTACAAAGAACGGTATAAGCTGAGTAGAAAGACGAGTGACTCACGATGTGATAGCCACGAAATGTGGTTTCAAGGCAGATTCAGTTTCACCACAAACTTGACTCACGAGTATATCTTCTGCCCTTGACGCAAGCTTCGTGTACTGTGTAATTAGTTCCTCAAAGATAGTGCAATTTGGGACATCGCTCTTGCTGGCTTGATGATCTGCATAGTTCGGCAGCGATGGATGCATCTCCGCCTGAGAACGTAGGGCTGCCCGATTGTTGATTTCTGTCCACAATTCCAAAAAGAACTGTCCGCAACAGGTTGTTCAGCTTCAATGAGGTCACGAAACGCCAGCCACCTCACCTCTTCCTCTCCCCATCGTTGCATTGCAGATTCCACGTACCGTGCGCTGAGCAACGCCTTGCACAACCGTTGACTGCCCTCAACACCTCCGGTCAACTTACGCGAGTCTGTCTTCGGCCCTTCGACACCTAGTGCGCCAGGGACCGCTCGCACCAGAGCAGATGAAAGTGTCTCAAAAGCATCCAGGGAAGAAGACACGCGAGAATAATACTGCTCGAGGATAGGAAGCTGAATGTGAATAAGGAAACGGGCGCGATGGGCGGAGGAGGGAAGGGGAGAGCAGCGATCTGTTTCACCTTCAATGACGAGCACATCAAAGAAAACTCATAATGTACCAGTAACTTGTTCAACGAGGGCCTTGATTCGTCGAGCTGAGTTCGTAGCCTTCAATTCGGCCATTGAACGGGAGAGCTTGTGTTCATCAGATTCATTTGAATCATCATCAACAATAACCCATGCGTCTGGAGAACTGATGATTTCATGATACTGGTCCTCAGCAACTGTGAATCAGACAGCTTAGTCTTTCAGACAGACAGACAGACAGACGAATGGAGAAATAAACTTGCATTTTTTCTCGCCTTCTAACCATGCGTCAAACCACTCCTTCTGGCAAAGAATGACAGAACTGACGCCTCCTTTCTCCTCAGTCTTCTTTGCCTCTGTGCCGACCACGAATTCATAACCTAGTCCACGCATACTGGAATCGAAAATTAATGCCTGATAAACTGTGTGCGCCAACAGGGCAGGGTGAGAGAGCAAGGTCGGGACGGTGCGCCGCAACTTGCGCTCCAGGATTGGGACAAGGAGAGTTATGTAGTTTTGCTGATGTTATGGTCTACCATTAGGCTGCAAAAATTGTGTTTAAAAGTATCAGCTTACCCATGCATTAACATACTGGTATTTTGTGCCCAAGAGTAAACGTTGTATAACATTGTCCATGAAGGGTCGATGGTCAAGAGCCACGTTCATTATATGTGAGAGATACCACTCCGGCTGTCACGAGAAATCAATACAGGTGATAGAAGACAAGGGGAACCACACCTTATCGAGGCGATTTGTCTCTCGTTCAGTTTCGAAATGGTACTTGAAGCGAAGGGATATCGCATGCGCGAGTGTTTCTAGTGGGTATAAGCCCTGGGAACCTTGGTTTGTTGAGCCCTCGATATTATCGCCGCTGTGTAATTTCAGTATAGCCCATAACGCATAATTCAGCTTCACTGACATTTCTTGCAGCAATATCAAGTCCTTGAACGCAGATTCGAAGGATTTGCGGTCATGCACGCTCGCAGCAGGATAATCGACAGCCATTGGCCACTGAAGATTCTCCAGCACGCCATTCAGTTTTCTTGATGAAAAGACGGTAAATTATCAGGACTGTTCCAGAGCATAGATCGAGACTTACGTAGAAAATATCTCTTTTATATCTAACCACGTTTTGTCACGGATACGCCGTACGAATGTAACAAGATGTAGAGACTGCTCAGCACTCCCGATATCTTGCACGCTCTCGCATGCCTGACCAACATCGCTAACGAAGGCACTTAGCCTACTGTATTCCGACGTCGACGATTTGGAAAGTGGGGATGATGTAGCGCGCAACTGCGCCAATGCTCCTTCGCTGAGAAAGAATTGTTTGATTCCATCGATAAAGACAGATAAAATTGATAGATGGTGCACACCTCAAAGTCAATGTACGTTCTATGACAGCTACATACGCCCGCACGCTTTCAAGGTCCTTCAGTATGCGATGCATAGTCTCAATGTCCTCAAGAAGAGTGGGATTGGCATCCGATTTCGAAGGAGAAAGAGATGAGACAAGCTCATATGAGAGGTAAGTCATCTCGTTCTCTATCGACTCTCTGTCCTCCGCGAACCCACGAGCAGTGTCAAGGTTAGCAAGTGCTGCCACGCGAGTTTTCGTTATGAGCGAGTCGATTGATTGCTGAGATGCAGAGAGCTAGCTGACAACGAATAAACTACCATGAATTATTCGAATTATTCAACCCACCTGACGCTGTAGTTCTGAACTCCGTGTTTTTGTTTGTGACAGGACTTGGTCAATCCCATTGAGGTTGTCGATGTGAGCGAAGTTGGAGTTGAAGTATTCTAGTGCAGACCGATGCGCAGCAGATACGTTAGGCGGTTCAAGCAGGCGCTGTATCTTCTGTGAGGACATTGCGGATGGTCTGAGGCTCTGAGCTAAACTGAATCTCACTGGTCACCACGTTGTAATAGGTTGACCACATAATTTCAAATTCAGATTATGCCCACGTGGTTATCTAATCGCGACTCGAGTTCTTCTTCCCATACTGAAGACACTCGATGGCGTCAAAATGAGTGGAGAAGACGAACTGTTCACAGAGTAATACCCCACGCTAACAGAACTCCATCTCTATCTTGAACTTCCATGGCTGAGGTTGACTTTAAGCAAGCAAACGAGAGCTACGCTGCCAGCTTCGGCGATAATGGCAAATTAAGCATTCCACCATCCAAGCATCTTGTTGTCGGTAAGTACTTGCCTGCACACCTGTGAGAGCTCAACTGACTCGCCGATAGTGACTTGCATGGATGCTCGCCTTAAGTGAGTTGTGATTGTTAAGGGGGCGTGTCCGCAGACAGTGATTGTCGAACAGTCCTGAGGAGTTCCTCGGCCTGAATGTAGGGGAAGCACACATTATTCGGAATGCTGGTGGGCTTGCGTACGCAAAAAACATACTACAACTCCTATGCTCTGCTGAACGAGTTCCCATTATATTTAGCAAAGAATCTCTTCGTTCCATTATCATTTCACAGAGACTCCTCGGAACTAAAGATGTGCTCGTCATTCACCATTCTGATTGTGGAATGCTCACTTTTTCCGATGAGCAACTTCGATCCAAGGTCACCAATGCACATCCTGGAGATACCAGTGTGTCCGAGGCGGTGAACGACCTGCAGTTTGGACCCTTCCCTGATTTAGATAGGAGTGTGAAAGATGATGTCACGTTCTTGAAGAATCACCCGCTTGTTCTGAAAGAAGGAAATATCACTGGATGGGTGTACGAGGTTGAGACGGGAAAGATCAGAGAAGTTGCGTGATAAGACGGCGGTATAACGAATGGTCTATATGACATGTGTAACCTGTACAAAGAATGATCTGTATGAGGTGCAACCTAGTGCTTCATACTTGGAAAATGAGTAGGACCTATCAGCAGTAACCGATGTTAGAAATGAATGAATAGCCACCTACAACATTCATGAAGCTACGAACGGTCGCCCTTCAACTCCGTGACATATCGCACAACCTCACTCCAGTCTCTAGCCCGGTGCACCGAAAGATGGGTGTTTGCTTGCTCCAATGCCTTGTCCCCTCGCTTCACATCCTCTTCCAGGAAATTTCCCCCTTCTCTTTGTAAACGAACTTCGTAAACCATATCGTCGCACTCATCAGAAGCCACTGATAATCGCTTGTTCCATTCATATGAGCCGAAAAGGAGTACCGGGGGAGGCTTTGTTACTCCATCTAATGGAATATGATATGCGCAGGCCAACGCATTTTCCATCGAGTCGTCGATCAGTAATTCGGCTCCAATGTCAATACAGACCTCCGCTTTGCTCAACCGCGTGGCGACCTCATGTTCCTTTGGTGCATCTTTCAAGGCGTCTGCGCCATCTGTCGCGTGCTTTGAAGAATTCGCAAACTGGCCAGTGCATATCATGCTATGAAAGCATCCAGGGAACCAACGTTCGACCCAGGCCCAGCTGTCAGCATGGGAATCTTTGCCTCGAGCCGTGACGATGATCAAGCGATAGCCCAGCGCACACAAGGCCTCTACGCCCTCGCGTGCACCAGGTACGGGCTGGGTCTGCGCCATCAGACCGCTGGTGTAGAATGTTTTGACTTTCGTGCGAGTGACGTGAGGCGTTCCCCAAAATGGATTCTGGAGGAACAGACAGATTGGACATGAACAATCACTGCATCAATAAAATACGCTCTTCTTACCTTCCAGTAGAAGTAGTCTGCACAACGTGACCATGATGCACAGGGAGATGTCAATTCATGACTTACAGTAAAAATCATTGGTGGTCATCTGGGTACCATGAGTCTCATTGTGCCCTTGAATGAAATAGCTTGCACCCAGTGCTCCTCATGTAAATGAGTAGAATACACATACATTGCGCTACGACAGCATTGGTACAGCTCAACACGTCATCGAAGATCAATCGCGATGACAGGTGCAGAGGATGGGGGTATAGACTCCTTGAGCTCTGCAATCTGCTCGGCGGTAGTTTCTGCAGTGAGCTCTGGCTCATGCTCTGGGCTAGACGCTCGGTAGGTATCGTTCACAGACATGGCGGTATCGGTGACCTGTATCTAGTCAGAGCAGACAAAGAGTCAAGGGTTATTGCAATTCGCTATCCATAGCCTTGGTTTTTCGGATGACATGTGCCGAATCGATAGATCGAGGGCGAAAAATACAAAAGGAAATTGTGGCTGTGAGGTCCCCCGAACCTGCCGTCGGGTCACGAGTCTAGCTCGGAGGAGACATTTGTTTCCGAGTCGATCTGGGTATGTACACTGTACAGTACTATGCTACGTAGATATGTAGGATACATCCTGCGCCGAGGCGCGATTTTTCCACATTTGGTGTATCCCCGTGTGCTGATTCGCCGACAACAAGTCTGTGCTTCTCGCCTTTCAGATGCCCCGTGAGTGTCCTGGTGGGTTCATGGGGTACCGTACCATTTTTGGTTGATTTCAATGATGACCGTGACAGCATGTGTTTCTCGCTGGCCAACATTGCTTGGCTGTCATTCTAGGAACATCTCCCTTCCCCGCTTCCCACAGACCTCCGACCCACGACGGACCGTCAGCGACAAACCTGCTTAGTCATCCTAGCTCAATATAGTACATTGTACGGAGGCAAAAATATATAGACTCAATATCACATGCCACTAATACCCTACACTTCTTGGTAGGCGCGCTTCAGGCTACTTGTCACTTTTAATTCGCAGAGTGGTAATCGCACCCGGGGTAGGATGGTAACCTCGAAGCTTCGTCCATTGGATCAGCGAGTAAAACAACTCGTGCAGGTGTATGCCGCGCACCGGCCTCTGGTACAACGAGGGCTCACGGTTGGCTTTGTCCTGTACGTGCTAACAGCCGCATATCGTGGTCTTGCCGCCCACAAAACCACAAAGAAGGAGAAAGAGAAGGACGCGGCAGATCGAAAGAACGGAAAACCTGCCCGTGTTGCCGTACGCTTCTCTTGCCTTGATCCCGGCCATTCACTCATATTAGCCCGCAAGGTTGATGCCGTATTTTATCAAAGGCTGGGCATGATCTTGCGTATTGTCATACCAAACATACACTCCAAGGAGGCCCTGTTGCTTTTCATGCATTCAAGTCTCCTCATTTTCCGCACTGCCATCTCGTTGTATGTTGCCGCTTTAGACGGAAAGTACGTTCTCCAAACAACTTGAAATCAGCATGTTTTGAGGTGTCATGTATGATCCTTATAGAATTGTCGCGTCTCTCGTACGCGGACAGTCTCTCCAATTTCTCCTCAACATCATACGATGGTTGCTCGTTGCAATTCCAGCTACTTGGACGAATAGCTGGCTTAGCTACATCCAGAATAAGCTCGCTCTTGCATATCGTACCCGACTGACTAAAGAAGTGCTTAAGATGTACCTTGGCGATGAAGCAGATGGCCCAGAGGGCAAAGTTTATTATAAACTTTGTTAGTTCTCCCTACTCTCTCAGTGGAATATCTCAGTGACTCTTGTCATCCAGCTAATCTTGACGACAGGATAAAGAATGCTGATCAGTGAGCGAACTATTGGATCAAATGATACATCATCGATCTCATATTTGAACAGAATGATAACTCACGATATACAGCGGTTCTCCACGCACCTTGCCGTAATTTACGCGAACCTTGCGAAGCCAATCCTTGACGTGATACTTTACAACTACCAATTGTCACAGAATGTAGGGGCAGAGGGTCTTGTCCTTCTCACTGTTTTAGTTCAGGCATCTGCTGCGCTACGTAAGTTCAATTTTCATTGAGCGCATGTAATCCGCTGACACAAATGCAGTACGTGTTCTAACTCCCTCCTTTGGGACATACACAGCTCGGTCAGCTGCGTTGGCCGGCTCACTTCGACATACGCATTCTCGCCTCTCTGAGTTCGCAGAGGAGATTGCCTTTTTTGGTGGTGAGGAGACGGAGAAGCAATTAATCGAACGCGAATATGCTGCACTCGTTCAACATGAACAAGGAGTAATGAATAAGAGATGGTGGTACGGGTGCGCGGAAGAAGGCATTGTCAAATGGCTGTGGGGCAGCTTTGGGGTATGTATTCGTCAAGCAGTGAGTTGGAACAATATAACAACTATTTTAGCTTGTCGTCTGTGCAATCCCTGTTTTCTTCAAGCTGCCTGGAATATCAAATTTTGACTTAGGTAGTCGCACAGAAGGCGAGTTACAATAGTCACTCTAATACCAAATCGCTCAACGTTCTACAGGTTTCGTGACCAACCGAAGACTACTTCTTTCTTCATCAGGTGAAATCATTTGATACTTCATATGTTACTGCTGACATGCATTCATAGATGCCATAGGTCGCGTGATGTACTCGTATAAAGACCTGGCGGAACTCGCGGGCTATACCTCGCGAGTTTCCCTTTTGCTTGACACCATGTCAGACATCCGAAAGGGCAAGTTCCAGAAGAGTCTTGTGAGCGGTGCAACTGAGGGAGAGAATGCAGAGAGTACGTGACTAGTTCACCCGTAACGCAAGCACTGAATGTAACACCCTTAGTTTTGCGAAGTCGTGGACAAGTTCTCCTCTCGGACGATATTCAATTTGAGAGCGTCCCAATCATTACGCCAAATGGTGACATTCTTTTGAGAAGTTTAACTTTCCATGTCAAACCTGGGGTAAGATCATATGCAACGCGTATGTATGGTGTCTTATGCTGAATAAAATTTGAAGGAACACATGTTGATTGTTGGTCCAAATGGTATGCATCACTGATTTCGTGATCGTTGTCGCCTCACTATGATGTAGGTTCTGGGAAGTCTTCGCTGTTCCGCATCCTGGGCGGCCTTTGGCCTGTTTACGGTGAGCTTGATATATTCGGGCGATGTATTAGTTTCACCATGTCTCCAGGCGGTATTGTTCGGAAGCCCCCCGCGTCAAATTTCATGCTCATACCCCAACGACCTTATCTTTCTGTCGGAACTCTCCGTGACCAAGTTATTTATCCGCACTCGCAACAAGATATGGAGGCCCGTGGGTGAATAATATCGCGTTTGTAAATTTAATTATAAGACGTGTCCTAGGTGGAGTGACAGACGCGGACCTCCTCGCGGTACTTGAAAGGGTCCAGATGGGAAGCATCGTTGAGCGAGAAGGGGGTTGGGATGTTGCGCACGAATGGAGAGATGCGCTTAGCGGAGGCGACAAGCAGAAGATCGCTTGGGCGCGACTCTTCTATCACAGACCCAAGGTAATCACATACCTTACTCTGGTCACTGAACGTTAATCATCTGGCTGCAGTATGCCATTCTCGATGAAGCAACCTCACTCGTCCCTCCTGACATGGAGGGTACAATGATGGAACAGGCAACTGCCCTCGGAATTACGCTACTCACCGTATCTCATCGTCCATCACTGTGGAAGTATCACTCGACGATCTTGCAACTGGATGGTCAGGGCGGATATATTTTGTGCGTCTCATTTTCATCTCTTACTGTAAATGCCAGTTTAGCTGTCTTGTAGCACGCAATTGGATGCAGAGAAACGTTTGGCCATTCAAGAAGAGAAGCAGGATCTGGAGACGAAACTGCTTGAAATGTGAGTGCCCTGCTTAGTCGTCAGGTTGAAAAGTCTTTTGACATCTTGCCGTAGACCGAAAATGAAACTACGTCTCGCCGAACTGCGACTTATTGCGGATGCAAATAGAAGTATGTAGTAATTTTGACTGTAGAAGGCAGATATTATTATCATAATTACCACACCGATAAGTCTAAGGCAGGTGCCTATCTATTATCTAATCAGTGGGACCGATCAGATAAATTTAAGCAAGAGATTTTATTCGGACGCGGGTAAGGTGCCGAGATGCCGCGGCGTGCCGGAACCAATCGCAAATTTATACAGTGGAGGTGCACTGCCGGGTATATCGTCGTCCTGTTTCCTCCGCACAGCCAGTCGACCACCTCTCCCACTTCCGCCCCGTCATGCACATCTTCTCCCAATCTTTTAAGTATGAGTGAGTATCTTCTGTTCATCGCAATCTTCTACAGCGTGCTCACTATGTAATTTCCAGTCACTCATGGTCTCACGTCGTCATTGGAATGTGGCACAAATACCCGAACCCACATTGCACTCACGTCGTCAACGTCGATGTTCTCGATCGTACGATTGATCCATTAACTGGAGTAATACGGACGGAGCGTGTCCTTGGGTGCAAACAAAAGGCGCCCTCATGGATAGTCAAGGTCAGCCGCTCTCATGTCCGCACACGACATGTGACTAATTCTTGTATTCGATCGTTTTTAGCTCTTTGGTGGCTCGGAGGACGCTTTTGTTCGTGAGATATCCTTCATAGATCCCGCAACGCAAACCGCGACGATAACATCCGTCAACCTCTCGCTGTCCCAATTCGCTACTTGCTATGAGCGAATACAGTATAGACCGATGTCCTCCACCCAGACATCATTCATACAGACAGCAGAGATACAGGCGCGGATGGCTATGTGGAGGAGTATGACAGATAAGTTCGAGGATTGGTTGGTTCAGCGCTTCGAGCAGAACGCTATTTCAGGTAAAGCTGGATTTTCGGACGTGCTCAGAACAATGTGGGAGGCCAAGGAACAACAGACTGCACCATCATAGAGCAGCAGGATATCTAGTCTGTTTCTTCCTTTCGCTTGCACTTTTAGCATGTTAGATGCGTCCCATGGAACCCCCCTAGACCACATTCAAAACGTCTGCTACTTGGACGACTTACGTTTATTTTACAATACAGAGGTACATGTATTATTTGGATTCTTGCACACATCTACGACGAGCATGCAGATCCTTGACACTAGGTGAAGGATATCTGATCATTTAGACTTCTTGCTCGTACGCATCTTCCCATCCCACATCAGTGACATGATCGTCGCCTTTTTCACTCTCGTCATCCTCTCCTTCCTCACCTTGTTCTTCTCGACGCGGTCGGGGCGCTGGTCGTTGACTTCCAATGCCCCCTCCGTCTTCCTCAAGAACTATCATGCCTTCTCCGTCGCTCTTATCATCCATAGTATATAAATTGTCCTTGTCATCGAGGGATGGAGCTTGTGGTCCATCAACAAAAAGGTCCTTGAGTGCATCGTAATTGATCCGTTTACTGTACTTGTAATTTTTCTTGATGAGATTCCGCACTGATTCGGCTGCTGTATTTCCAGACGGAATTGAGTCGTCACGCGGTTTCGTGCTGGTTTTGCGACGCTGAAGAATACGAAACGTATCAGCATATAAAGGCAAGGTTCACGAAAAAATATCGTGCATGGCATGATACGAACCTTCCGACTTTTAGGTTGATTGACATCAGCTGGTTCGCCCTTGGCTACAACAAGTGACCGCTCAGTCATGGACGTAAATAATCAAGAAAGCATACCAGCTAACGCCTCCAAATAATCCCGGTTTATCTCCACCCAGACGCGTTCCTTGACTTTTACCTCCTCTTCGGTGAGGAGAAATTTGTCAAGCTCGTCCTCATCCAATCCTAGCAAATCATCGACTTCGACAAACTGGGCCTGTCGGCGCTGCTCAGCTTCGTCCAGAGCGTCAAGAAGAAGTGAGCCCTGCGTATTTTGCAAGAAACTAGCAACTTCATCAGCGAGGGCCTGATCAACAGTTTCATCGATGGCAGCCACTGTTGATGAATCAAGTCCGGGAGCTATCACATTTGACGCCGGTCGTAAAGCGGGATCAATATTGGCATAGACTTCCTCGGTTTCGTCCGGGTAAAACAGCGGCGCCGGCTCAGATGTTCCGGAAAGGATACCCTGATTGAACAAGGCTGGGTCAATGATGGGTATCTGAGGTAGGATCTCCTCCACGGGCGGTGCCAGTTCCACCCGTTCCCCCTCAGATTCGCTACCTCTCCTTTTCCGTTTGCCTTTCCGCTTGTGGGTCTTGGGTTTGTCTTTCGGCCCACCAAGAGCCTCTTCCCGCTCTTTCTCTTCTTTCTCCTTTCCTTTTGTGAAGGCAGGAGGATCCATCTCGTCATCTAGCCACACCGTCCTGAAGTCGGCAAGCGTAAGACCTCCGCTAGGAGTCTTCTTGAATTCATCTAATCGTTTCTTTAGTGTGGTATCAGCGATCTTCACCACTTGTACAATCTCCTCGACTGAACGCCGGAAGTTATTCATGCGGGCAGCAAGGAGGAGCGCCGCACCACAAATTCCTGCTGGGCGACGGCCCCGAGTGACCCAATCACGGTCAAAACGTTGTACAAGTCGAACGGCATCAGTGGCAACTTTATGGGTTTCTTCGCCAAACTCGAGCAACGCTGCGAAACGGGAGATGTAATGAGAAGGGTCGACGAGAGGGAGCTTTAAATTTAAAGTCTGAACGAGTTGGAGGTATATGTGGCCCAGCTCGAAGACATTGACCTGGAAATAGAGATAAGATCTAGTACCGACAAATACATAATTCCTTACCTGTAGAAGATCAGAGAAGTCTATAAGCATATAATTACGTGTCTCTTTTTGTCGACAGGCGACATATAGACAGACAGCAGCGACATTATTGCTTTTGCGACCCTTAGTAAACTTGTGTTCAACGGCGAGGGTGTAAAGACGCGTTGCCGCAAGACAAACAATTTCAGATAAACGCAGAGCGCCAGCAAAGTTCTGAATCTTTCTGCTAGCTAGTGAATCATGAGGTCTGTTATGACTACGATAAAAACAACGACTCACCATTCGCGATAGTTTGCTCGCGGGACTCATTACTTCCTCTATTACCAAATGGACCTGACATGCGAGCATGTGCTGGCAGAGGCAGACTGAGGCTCTTTGTCCGCAGAACATCTATGACCAACACTTACTTGAACCCTGACCGACGTATGATCCCTGAACCATGGCCGCGCCAGCAGAGGTTTCTCCAAAAGTGACCTCTGAAACTATGGTGTTCTCCTCCACCACCGTTCCGCATTTGACACAAAAGCCATTACCGGCAGCTGCATCGTACTCAATAACAGTCCCTCCGCAATCTGTGCATACAGTCTAAACAGGGGATTGATGTCAAAGATGAAGTATAGTGATGCAAGAACCTACCATGATACGTTATTATGAGCTCGTTAGGACGGTATGAGCGGTCGAATCTTGCGTTGCCCAGCTCTTGCAAATAAAAAATGATAATGATAAGTGGTGGACTTAGTGTGACATGATACGGTGCAACGGATCGTCGAAGGTTGACCGTAAGTCCGTGACCGGACTTTGAAATCAAATCCACTGGTCTTTACAGCACTAGTGCGCTGTTCCGGGTAACTTAACATTCCATTCCGAGCTTGAGATCGTTGAGCATATGCAAGATGCAGCTGAAATTGTTGAAGGACGTTTCGGTATCAATAAGTACATACTTACTGCTACTTGACCTTAGCATGAGACTTCCGAGTCTTTCCTACGGCACCGCAACTTGAGGCCTCGTCAACGCAGACCGCTACAATGTCACAGAATTATTCATATGTTGTGAGTACGCCAGCTAGCCCACTCTGGACAGCCTTTACTTACCCTCGCGGCCTTTGACACTGTCCCAGGATCATGTATCAAGGTTTCCTTGTGAAATTCTCAAATAGACATTCTGGTTCTGTTACTGCTGAGTCCTGCGATCACGCCGCAGATGAATCAAAGATATCAGAAGGCTTTCCTATGCATGCTATATTTGTCCAGGTCATAGTGTTGTCAAGGTTTTACTAGTGACATTCATGAGAGCTATCATTGGCGCTTCAAGCCGTAGAGATGCTGTGCGATCAACTTGTCCTGCCTCTTGGCGGCAGTGACTGGTCAAAAAGTGCTTGAAGTGCCGACTGTGAGAATATCTCTTTGATCGATTCCTCTTTCTGACTTTCATTCTTCCCTCTGCACCCCGGCAGGACCGTTGTAGCAGTTCGGTCGTCCTTCTCCTGTTGCTCTTCTGTCTTCTGCTTCTTGAACGAATTCCTGCCAAACATACTGTCCTAGTGACATCATCGTTCATTTATCCGTGATTTCGGTATGAATTATCTAGGTTGGGCAACAAAGTATCTGAAAACAGTTCAGTTCTACAACTGGTTGTCCATCATGCGCATTAAGCAACTATGGAATATTATCCCTATCCCATCCAAAATAAAGTTACTGGTGAGTACTTGCAGTGACTTAATGGTACAAATTATCAGAGGCAGTCTGCCACTGAACGAGGCGTCCTGAAGCATTGTAACAATGCTGTCCGTACAACTAAGCTGACTCTTCGAAACAGTGGGATCGGATAACTCTTTCACGCACAACCACTTTTTACATCATATTTTCCATCCTTCATTGTGTTCTCCAGATCATCTTTCAAGGGCAGGCCTTTCGTATCAATGTCGGGGCTGCTGAGTTCTTGGCCTCCATCACCAGACAAGGAAACACCATCGATTCCAACGCATTCTATGTTTTGGGGAGTGACCTTCGTCTTTGCGACAGTATCCCAGCAGACCTCAGCACTAGCTCTTGCCAAGTAATCTGGAATGGTACGACAGTTGGGGATAATTCGCTGACATCCGCAAATGCATTGGCCCCCATGATTACTACGTCATATTCAACGGGGACGTCAAGTTCCATGATCTCGACCTCGGGGTCGAAGGTATCCACTAGTTCAATGAGTTCAAGCTACTCTGCGACGTCAAGTTTTATCACATCTGCAAGACCAACGATTACCGCGACATCGAGTTCACGACATCGAGTTCAACAGCATTCACAAATTCCGTGTCTCCATCGCATACCACTACCTCATCGGCGATAGCTTCAAGCGCCACTGATAAGGTACGCAGAGAGCGTGCTGCTGAAATGGTCAGTAATCCATTCAGGGTAGAAGTCAGCTAACGCGCCACTAGCAGCTGAATCGACGCAGCCTCGTTCAAGATATCCAAGCCGTCGAGATCAATGGCACCTCACAAGTCATTGTGAACGGATATGGCTGGAACAATCAAGTAGCTGTTTTAGATCAACAGTGCCTTTGGGCTCTGAATTATCCAGTTCAAATGTAAGAAGCGTTTCGTCATAGCCTATCATTGTGTATGTAACGTCATCGAAGCCTTCAGCAGACAGAGCGGGAGGATTTGACCTTCATTGCTTTTCAAATATGGGTCCTCGGAATGTCTATCGTCGCTGTAAGTACAATATTGTTCTTTCCTCATCCATTTGTCACAACGTTGTACTAGATCCTGAACGAATCTGTCCCTCATACGTGAGTGCTGCACTAGTTTGCCTGACGCGAGAGTACTCAGAGGACCATAGCATCGCAACTCTTTTGACCCATATGCTGGCTACTGGATGGGCAGGTTATCAGATATTTAACACTGCTCAATTCCATGGTGACTTTTCGAGGCTGTCAACAAATGGAGCTTGCAATCCGATCAATCTTTTACCGTCATATTGGAAAAGTCGCTTTGTTGCCGAAATTGCAAGCTTGGTGCTGAATGCCATTGCACTGTTGGTTTCTTCCTTTCTATCGTGGAGGCTTGCCAAGGTGATGCAGTCTTGGTTTGCAAGTTCACAACACTCATGTATTTTACTTCGATTGCATCCAGCTCTTTGGCTGGCAGACTTTCAAGCGTGTGGGGGCTTCAATCGTTATCAGTCGTGTCTATAAATTTGTGCTCGTGCTCTCCATCGTTATCCAGATATCGCTCTTTTTCATGGTGGTCTCCATCTCACTTTGGCTGGATCAACTTTGGAATGGCAATATCGGGCGTCTTGACACCTCACCTGAATTCAAACCACTGTTGATCGTCACTCTCATCGTGAGCGAACAAGTTACATGCCGCCAAAACCATTCACTAACTACGTTTTTATGTAGCTCTTACTTCCTTGGTTAACTGCAGTCAGACTTCACTTTGCGATTGCTTCTATAGTAACTTACACCTTTCACAGGGCTGGCATGGTGTGCGCCGAGAACTCAAAATACCTATGCTCGTATTTCTTGCGCTCAGTGTCGGATACCTTGCAGGCTGGGCAGCAATGTTCGATTCCAGCGCATTCCGGTGGACGTTCATAACCTGGACGTTCTTCGGGGTGATGACCTCTTCATCTGTCTTCCTGACTCTTGTTGCATTCATCTTGGGCATCATATGTCGTATTAACTTCGGCAAGGGGCTTATACGCTATCGTGAGTTTGCACTATTTGTTGCTCTCGCCTGTGAGCTTATACGGTTGGTACAGTCAATGCAGACGAGCCAATCCCAGAAGATTTCGTACCCGTGAATTACGGAGATGACCCAGAAAAGATCGCGTTCCAAACGGATGATAGGAGAATGTCCACGTTCTCCGCTACGTCCGGCGCAGGACAAGAAGTTTCCCCTTCTCAGATGCTCGCTCCTCCTATATGGGAAAAGTTCTCCACGCCTGATGCATTCTTAGCCCCAACCTCCGGATCCTACAGCGCCGTTGAGCGGCAAGTCTCCAACGGCAGCACCTATAGTTCAACGAGCACTACTTCAAGCCGAGTCGGGAGTGACTCTGCTGCTGGACATTCTAAACGCTGGATTATCGAGTAAATGACACTTGCGATTTGTACAGGCTCCCGGTGTATTTGAACAGTAATTGTAGTGTAACTTATCAGTACCACTGGGTGGTTGCAATTCAAACGAACATTTACTCTACTTTCAGTGAAAGTCACCGGCAAGCACCTCCAAGTGCGACAGAGACTTAGAACTGATCGTCAGCGCTCGCTATTACGGCCTCCCTAGGCTTACCTCCGTCATCATCTCTACCTGTGCTTGTTGATAATCTCGAGTTCTCATACTCTTTGGACAGATAACTAGATTCACTAAGGAGGCGAGCATGTCCGTCACATATTATATTCCAGTGCTCGTATTACTTTATTACTACGCTACTAGTAGTCATACTCTCCGCTAGTCGCTAGTCACTGTACGGGACAGTCCAGGTGATGGTGCATATACCTTAAATATCAACGCTACTGCTTCGAGCACACGCTATCATCTTGGTGACTGACTGCTGTTGGGCACAAGTTGATGTTTCCCTTCCTCTTCCTAGTTCCGGGTAACAATCAACCATCACACTAATTTACGAACAACTCACAAATGCTCTAACCAGTCCAGAGACTGAGAAAGTATCGACTCTAGTTTGCACAGAGCAAACTCCGAACTAACACCCCTTCGCCATCGGTGAATATTGAATGGTCGCCGCATGGGAATCGGTATATGCTTGGTCTTCTTTTCATTTGCTCGCGCTGGTACACAGCTTCATTGAGCTGAAGAGCCGTGCGCCGATGTTCTCCATCTTATTCGGCTAAACTCTGCTTAAATGTTCATCTTCTGTGAGTTGCTGCTGCCACTGCTGATACTAAAGGTACGAGTGGTGAGGGAGAAGTGAGTTCTCTCTGCCCGAAATGGTATAGACTTCGTTCTCTGGGAGGAACACGACTTAGAAGAAAGTGATATGATTGACGATAATCAACGGTATTATTGCAGGTATAATTAGTAAATTACATCTATGAGTGAGGCGTTAGTGATGAAAATTGCCAGATAGAGCAGCTATGCTCACCAGCCACCGCCAGAATGCTTCCATCTTGTTCTTCGCCGGGGGTTCCTCATATGAGTCTGCCACGATGTCAGCTATATTGCTTTTAAAGTCCATGTCCTCTGCAGCAACGGGCTTTGTGCCATAGTAGAGGCGAGCACCAAAGTACATAATTGGCCAGGTAATGAGAAGGATGTAGTCAGTGACAAAAGTTACACTATTCCACTTTCCTTTGAGGAAGACGCTCCATCCGCTAAACTAGAGAGTAGAGGAATAGTCAGTCTAAATAATATTAGCAGATATGAAAAGTTGACATACGAAACAGATGGTGATCGTCGTAACTACTCCCCACCACGCTGCGTATGGCTGGAGATTTGTGTAGTAAGGGAGCGTCTTGCGGTCGATGCCTTGAACCTGCATGCCCTTGTAGAAGCGGAGGTACGTCACCGAAATACCAAACCACGTCATAAGGCCAGCGATGGCTGACATGCTGGAAAGCCGGTTAAATACTGAGCCCGCACTACTGGACACAGCCATGAAAGCAAGAAGGGAGAAAGCGGCGGAGAAGAGGACAGTAACGTAAGGCAACCCGTTGCGCGTGGTTTTAAGGAAGATCTTGGGAGCATTTCCTGAGGCTGCAAGACCATCTACGAAGTGTATCAATTTCGATGAGTTGGCTGGCAGATAAGTGTACATACAAATCGCACGAGATGAAGTATACAAGGAACTAGATGATGCAGACCATGCCGAGGTCAACAAACAAGCATTGATGATCTACTTTGAATAGCAATGAGAAATTTCTAGGTAAAAAAGGAGGGCCATGTGCGGCTCACTGAAGGAAGAGATTTAATTCCAGCTGTTTCAATAGCAATGACGAATGGAGACCGGGCGGTTCCAGTGTTCAATACGAGTAATGGGTTGTTGGATGGTACAAGCAAACCAATTACGAGTGTTCCACCGATGTAGAAAAGCAATATACGGATGTATACTCGACGGATGGCTTTGGGCAAGGTATGACGAGGATTCTTCGCTTCTCCAGCAGCAATCTAAGTGAGATTCGTAAGCAATATATTGATTGATAAGCCTAGAGTATAACGTACAGCAACAATCTCGGTTCCAATGAACGAGAAAGCAGCCTGCGTCAAAACAGCCCACCAGCCGAGGAATCGTCCTTCGGCACCTTCGATGCCACTATACTGAACGAATGGTCCAGGATTTTTCCAGTAGCGGAATCCAATGCGGTCATGGTTTGGACCACCTCCTAAATCGATGACTATACCGAGAATAATGACACCAGTGATTGTGATGACCTTAACGGATCTATAGTAATTTCGGAATGGGAGATCGGGATATGTTACACGGTAGTAGTACGCACGCAAATATGAATTCCGCCTCGCCGTAAGCGCCAGCACCGAGCATATTGATGGCGAGAACGACGGCAAGACATGTGACGACCCATACTGAATCATTGACAGTGTAATTCCAATAGTTTATCAATAATGCAGCAGCAGAAATCTCAGCTGAGATGAAAAGAATGTCAGCAAGCACGTTAAGAAAATGCATTCAATTCAAGTACCAGGTGCTAAAAGGCAAGAGGTCAGTAATTGTGAGAAATGAACGAGGAAGAATGGGACGTACAGCTAATCGCCCAGTCATACCAGTAATTCCAACCCATAGCAAAAGAGAACGCAGGGTCAATGAAGCGCTCGGCCAGTTTGATGTGACCACCAGCTATAGGCAGGTAAGCAACCTACGGAAATGAAGATCAGGTACATGAACTACGTCTGGGGCGTGCAGCAAGCATACCATTTCTCCCAGACTGATCATGACGCAGTAGACGATGGAGCTCATGACAATGTAGCCGAGCAACAGACCAATGGGACCTCCATAACTCAGAGAGTCGGCGGTTCCAACAAAAAGACCAGTACCGATAACACCGCCAATACTTAACAGAGGTGAGAATTTGCCAGAAAAAGAAGAAAATCCAACACACACCTGATCATAGCGACATGACGATTCTTGAGTTTACGTTGCAGGGTGTGCCGCGAGGGCCCCTGAAAAGACGCTCCATTATGGTCTAAGACGTCAGAGAATTCGCCTTTGCTGCTATTACTAGTGTGATAGGCAGTAGCGGTGTCTGTCTTTTCGGCACCCATTGTGACGAGTGCTTGTGAACGAAAAGGTAGGAGGGAAAAATAATACTTTGACCCAACTACGACTCACACTAGCACTAGATATAGTATGAGCGGGGGGAGGGGGGCGTAGTGTTATGGGCAGAACTGGCAGAAATTGGCAGAACGATGTTCCGCCAGCGTGGCAGATGGCAGAATCATGTGTTGTTTTATGGCGCTAGAGGTACGAACTACATGGATGGCAGTGTCTTCCTTATGGACGTTGATCAATGGGAACGCCACGTCTGCATGATAGGATGCCTTTGGGATCACACCGTGCGACCAGAGTTGGGGAGCTTCACATTGGCGTGATTAGTGGTTGCTATCATGTATCCGTAGTTCGGGAATGCGGCTGGTAGTCTGTGAAAGTATACCTCTAAAGTATGTATCTCCGTGGTCTCGAGTCATAGATGTTAAAGATGGTTATTGTATCTGGATCAGAACGGGTAAGTTTTCTTGAATAGTGCCCCAGAAAATGGGCTAGTCGGAAACCTACATGGGGACTGTCGATAAGTAAATCCGATTTGCTGATAGATGAATCGTTATATATCTCAGTATCTTCAGCCAGGGGGTCAGTCAGCTACTACCCACTGTTACTTTCCAGCCTTGCTATGGTCCTCAACGTGCCTTCAGATTTCGCCGTGACAAGTTAAGACCAGGCTCAGCTTACTTCTTGCTTTTAGCCCTAGTCGATATCGATTTTATTTCGCACTCGGCATATTGTATCGAGTTCGGATTTGATATGAGAGAGAGCTGCCGAAATGCGGCTAACTGGGTGAGATCAACCACGTGACAAGCACTCGATATCGCGAACGCTGATGCCAACATGGAAAAGAAAGAAAACGCGTACGGTCACCACAACGCCTCACCAAATCACCGGAACCAAGTTTTGAAAATGTTGAAGAGATGTGAAGGAGATCGTCGAAGACTTCTGTTGGTCATATAGCCCGCGTGGTCGATACTTACTAGTAGCGCCTTGTTGTTTCGCGTCGAGTGCATGCAGTGCAATTGTTGCTGCAAAGAGTTTGTCATCCGGTGTCAGAGTCTGCATCAGCCAGTAGTATTAAGTAGGATGATGGTAAGTGCATCGAGAGACATTATAGCGTGCGAGGAATCTGCCATGGTAGCATGGACATGTTCAAACAATGTTTGGTCCGACAAGCACAGTCGAAAGACTCCTGCGCAGATAGGTGGTCCTACAGTGTATGTCACTAAGGGACAGCAACTCTCCCCAGGCCGCAATTTTGATCCATATGTGCTTAGATTGAAATTTTGATAGGAAACTTAGACAAAAGGAGCGTAAATCTAAATTTCCGAAATTTCGCCTGATTACGTAATTGTTCACTTTTGCTGTCGAATGCCTCCTCCTACCAAAAGACAGAAGCAAGCGAAGCAGCAGTATGCTTCATCATCGAGGTGCTTTGACAATGGGCTGATAGAAGATGTTTTTGAAGTCTTTCTGGACCCAGATTATGTGCCTGTCTCAGATGCCGAAAGTGAAGCAGACTCCGAGTCCGACTTTAATGGAGCATTGTCATTCAGTCTCATAGACGGCAATATAGGAGAGGTATCAGATAATGAAAGCGAGTCAGATGATGAAGCAGCTATGGAGATTGTGGTCGAGGCTGAAGAGACAGTGGATTATGCAGAGGGGTGTGCACGGAGGGCAGCAGTATCTGCTCAAAAATTCTGGGCGAACATTATGAGTTCAGTGAGTAATATCAATCAGTGCACTGATATACATCGAAAATTTGATCAGGATGTATTTTCAGGGGACACGAAGCCAGTGAAACTGCCCAAACGCTCGATGCCAACATACAGTGGCACAGCACGAACATCTACCTATCTTCGAAAGAGAAAAATGAGAGAGGGTGCAAAAAACAATATGACAATCACCTCTTTCTGGGCCCGTCGACTAATCGCGGAGCCGGCCGTCAGATGCCGCATACCAAAATAGGAAACTCCGACACGCTCCGCTCGAAATTCACTTTTGGCTAGCGAAAATTTTGAAACTTAAGTTTTTTGAAAAAGTATTCTGATAGACTTACTATACTACTCTAACATAGCACATTTGTTAGGTTTTTGAGACGAACGAGGTATTTCTGAAGGTGTAGATAGAATTACAAGTTTTGATGTCGGTAGTTGCCGCTTTTGAGTGACATACACTGTACTAGCAGGAATATTGGAGTGTGGGAAATATTGATCCATGACGTTTCCACGCTCAAAAAATGTGAGCATCAGAATTTCAGATCCATCAGATGCCTCTACTTACTCACTGGCGGGTATTTCAGTTGCACCGATGATGCACCACAGGTCCGCTACTTGCCCTGTTTGATGCATTACTACGACACGAGCCTGTGACAACGTGATTCCGTAGAAACGACCAAATACAGTCACTTTCCTCACCAGTTCACTGAATCACTGTGTTGCTGCCCCGACCCTTTCTTGATTTCCTCGCAGTGCCACGGCGACCTAGTGCATCTAGACTCTACTAGACTTTCCATGGGGATTAATCGCATGATGTTTGCGTCAACAGTCAGTAAACGACTTTTCCGCTACTCAGAGAATTGCGCAAGATTCGTCATGAATCTTGATACTCGTACATCTGTCAAAGTAATCTCTGGTCATTTCATAGTTCGCCCTGCCATACACTGGTTCAAGGTTGGTCAAATTTTCAGGGCCTATCACTAATCTTCTCGGACATTGATTCAAAAGATATTCCCTCCCACTGTATCGATCCGCCTTGCTAGAATGTGCAACTTTGTGAATGCAGCGGAGGAGTTGCGGCGTTTCTCGTCGGATTCCAAAGGGTGACTTGGACGAAAAATGACGAGTCGTCTACCGAAATCACGCGACTCTTGTGTCGATGTTGCAGAAAGCGAACTGGGCCCCGATACAGGTGAGTGAGTGTCACTTCTGTAGTCGTGCCCCCGTCATGACGACCTACTATTATAGTTTCTCGTGGAGCGTACGACCAACACTTTGAGAATGTCTGTGAACTGGACTGCGTTCCTTTTGCGGCCCATTTTGAAATACCCTCGGACAACCGATATTTAGTGCGGTAACTGCGATTGCATACGAAGGTCCATCACAATCACACGGAGCGGCCTTGTCTTATGAGACCAATCATGACGGAATCAACGACTCAGGTCCACATCATTCTTCCAGCTCTTTCCATCAGTTTCTATGGCCCGATTTTGCGTCCAGTTGATTTTCTGCACCTTGCCGTTCATGGTATTTAGAACAGTCATGTGCAAAAATTACTTGTCTTTTCTGATGTTGACAGTAAAACTGGCATCGAAGGTCAAAAGGAACTCGGGAAACGCTACTAGTTCGTGTGTACATGTCGCTAGCTAGACAAATTACGAAAACAATTTGAATGAAGATGCACAAGTATGAGTAAGGCTACATGTTTTGCTAAGTGTGAATTGGAATATCGCAGAAATTAAGTGAACTACCAGCATACGTGAGTTATCGTCATTCATATTCATATTCAGCTTCGGGTGTGGGCGTTCCTGTTGAGGAGAGGGTGGGCGAGGGTATCTGGATGGCCTCAACTTCTTTCTCCTGGATGATTGCAGCTTGCCTTGCAACTGTAGCCATCTCATAGTTTTCTTCTGTCGGCAGCTCTATAGGCGGACTAGTCACCAACTCAGTCTCCTCATACCCAAGGAGCGTCTCGCCGAATTGGAGCATCCAAGGGTGGTCCAGTAGTTCGATAGCCGTTGGCCTTCTCATGGCATCAATGATGAGACACTGCTTAATGAAATTGATGCCTAGATCGCTCAGCTGTCCGGGTTCCGGTAGGGGTGGATGCTGCGTAGCCACTCCAATGTGGAACATGACGGCCCTGTTGCCCCATTCCCGTCAGATCAATCCTTATATCAGAAACGAATGATGGTCGTACCATTCATTATCCAAATTGCTCCATGGTTTCTTGCCGGTTGCAAATTCTAGAACCACGCATCCAAGCGACCAGACATCCATTGCCCCGTGACGACCTCTCTTGTCATTTTTGATGACTTCCGGGGACATATACATGGGCGTTCCGGTCAGGCTGTTCATGCCTAAGCCTCCGCCAAAGCCACCAGCTTTCGTAGCATTCCCGGCGAAGTCTCCTCTACGTGTACGTTGCATGGTGCGATTCTTCACGAGGATTTTAGACGCTCCAAAATCGACGTATTTAATGACACCACGATGATCAAGGAGAATATCTGTTGAACGATCCAAATGATATGTAAACCGCAGAATGCTCAGACTTACTGTCAGGTTTGATATCCCGATGGACTATTCCCTTCGAGTGCAAATATGCAAGTCCCTCCAGCATCTGCATGGTGTAGAGCTGTATGATACTCTCGTCCTCAATTCGCCCATGTTCCAGAAGAGAAGCCAGGCTTCCGCCCTGGCAGTACTCTTCAAAGATGTATACCTTGTCGCGGTGCACTTCGATTCCGTAGTATTCTACGACGTTGGGATGATGAAGCATTTCCATGACGCTTAGCTCGTCCTTGATTTGCGAGTAGAGGTTTGGAAGCCCAGACAGCTCTTGAAATTTGATTTCCTTGACAGCCATGAGGGAACCAGAGTCGAGGTTGACTGCGAGATAAACTGAACCGAATGCCCCAGCCCCAATGAACCTCCTTTGCTGCCAACGAATGGAGATATTGGAACTTGAAGACGCAAGGAAAACGAGAGACCGATCTTCGGGTTTCTCGTTGTCAAGAACACGACCTACAACCCTTTGGTCTGTGCCGGTCTGTGCTCGACTGCTTTCAAGTGCATGTAACGCCCTTGCCGTCTTCTCCCAATACAGACGCACGTTAGCATCTGTGTATGAGTACGTGTTCATGCTGATGAGGTCATCATTAGCAGGCGATGAAGACCTTGGGAATCCAGGCTCTTCATCGGCAGATATCAAGGCTTGCTCGCGCAGAAGTCCTTCTTGTCTTTCCTTCTCCTTCCGTGCTTCCAAAGTGGACCGAGCACCAAGAATATCAAAATGGCTGATGAGGAGCGTCATGCAGCTAGCTACTTTCTGCCGCAGCATTTCGAATTGATCATCTGGCATTTGCAATATGTTGTTCCGTCGAGTGCGGTGTAGCGCGAACTCCAATGCATTCACGGCCCATCGAAAGGTTTTCCGATCTGATGGATCGCAGTCATCGCAGATGAATGATACCCAGGAGATGGCGAGGCGTATCAGCAGACGGTTGAATTTGCTGAGAGGCGAACGTTCCATGTACTTCTGAGCGTGTTGCCCATGCTCGGAAGCAAACAGATACCAATTCTCCAGGAGCTCCTGGTATCCAACTGCATTGCGCAGTGAATATCGAACGTGGTGCACAGAATCCACTATTGACTCCGCCAGCTTGTTGGTCGCGCGAGCTATCTTCCGCAGCTCACGATTGACTGTGGGTAGATGCGCTTGTTGTTCGATGATGCACTGCAAAGGAGTAAGCACCATTTCTAGAGGCTCATCTTCTTCGTCCACGAAGATCTCTGAGAATTGTTCCTTGGCTAGCACAAGCCGCCGGTCGGGTCCATCTGCAACAAGACGCAAGCGGTTGTCCTTCATGTCAAGATCCATCCTTGGAAGTTCGAGCATGAACACCAGACCATTCCACAGAAATTGACTTAGAGGAGACAGGAGGAGAAGATATTCGGCCTCGTCATCATCCTCACTATCCATCATCTCCATGCTATCAACCACATGGACACCCTCGTCATTCATAGACTCGTTGGCATGGAAAGATTCAAAAAGAATGCGTCGTATGGCTTCTGGGCGGTCGCGCAAAGCACTAGATGCAATGATATAGATTCCTTCTTCTTCAAACGATCGCGTGTAGACCAAAAAATGATCTGTCGCCACAAGAGCTGCGATGACCTGTTCGATGGGGACGCCTTCCAGGTTGTACTCGGCAGAATTGCAGAATCTTTGGGTCAAGACCCTAAATATGCCCAATATCATCAATAAAAATTTCGTCCCTTCACATCAAGGTTCAACGTACCGTGCAAAACGTTGGAGCTTTCGATAGCGCAACCGGACGTTGTCCAATATCTTGCCATACCAGTTAACCTTCTGCTCGTCAGTCATGTGGCCTGACACATTGTTGGCGATGATATCTGCGTCGAAGATATTCGCGGACCCGCGACGTTGAGGTGGCTTTTTGTCTGCAGAAGGCAGTCGGACTTGAGTATCAAAGTAATTTGCAACCCGGACCATGAGCTTATTTGTCAATGAACTACAAATATGCCTTTAGTAAGAGGGAACGCAACAGGGATACAAACTGACCAGACTTGTTCGGCGACCAACTGCGGGCCACCAGCAACAGTCATGCTGACATCATTGAAAGTCGCCCACTGAGACTCGATAAAATCTGTCTCTTTGAAGTAAATCCCTTTAACCCCGCTCTTGAGCTTCCAATGTATGAGTCTGAAAAATATAGAGAGCGCTTCAAGTATGGTGGAATCATAGTCATCGGTGATGCATTGAGGCAAATTCCAATTTCCGCCTGGGTCGGGTGCGAGGAAGGCCTCATATTGCCGCTTGAGCGTGCAGGCAAGACCCAAACTTATCTTCACATCTTCCGTGACTTGGTCGATGATGAGGACTTCTGGATCTTTAAGTTTCTGGACATAGTCCAGCCGAAGGCGGAGACATGCCTGCGCAAGTTTTGTCGGGAAGGAAATGAGTGGGACGAGTTCGTTCTCAAAAGTGGGGAGGTTCATTTCTTGAAAAAGGGAGGATAAGTTGACTTGGGCATCCCTAGCGGTACCGATGAAGGAGTGTACAGTGGTGAGGAATCCTCTCTCAAATGTTTTCTGGATAGAATCCTCTTTGAGGACTCGCTCTACAAAAGTGGTACCGTCAGACACATCCGTAGGTCCGTTAGCGTAAGAATACAGGTTGGCGAGAGGGATGTCTGCGCTCGTATTGGTCACATCGAGCGCCTCGCTTTCAGTCCACCGTTGGAGTAGTCCGATATGACGCCTCAAAGACAAGAGCACAGTCGACCAAGTGTTAAGTGTATCGCATCGAGCCTGGAAAGATGGCTCGGATGCAGCGACGTTATCAGCGTAGAAGGCTTTGATTGTAGGGTAAAGTGAGTGCGCTACATTCAATCGCAGCAGCACAGCGTTGACACGCTTGAGTGCAGTAATCGCATCGCGCTCGTCATCTGCAAGCTTGAAATTATTGATCTCCTCAATGATAGGATCTGCCGTGCGCAATCTCCTCTCCTCAAGACGCTTGCGCTCTTCTTCAACAGAACGACCACTGAACTTGGCACGTAGCCCAAGCCAGATACTGAGATGGTTGTTGTTGTGTTCCTCCGCTGAGGACTCGAGGGCTACAGCAATCCGAGTCTTCTCTGATTTGAGGACATCACCGTCCAAAACGGACGCCAGCATAGTCTGCCACTCCAATCGCTGTCTGTCCTCAACAGTCGCTGGCTGGATGTGCTCCGATTCAAGCATCAAAGCTGTGACGCGGTCTACACCGTCACCTCCCATGAGTGAGGTGCGGCCCAGATCTTCATCGTCACTATCTCCTGCGTCTATGAGCTGCCCTAAACCCCTCTGAAAGTAGTTACTGTCTGGATCATGCCGAGGATCATCGTCAAGACCTGGTTCGGACCTGTAGCGCTTCACGAATTGAGTGTAGATATCCGAGTACTTAGAGGTGTGAGACAACGTGTTATGATTGGAATGGGAAGATGCTGGGCCCGACGAGAATGCATTCCTTGGCCTATTCTTTCCTCTGCTGCGCAGAGACGCACTTGAAGAGGAGTGCATGCTGACTGATGATGTAGGGTGTCTAGATGAGATTGGGGGCTGGGCCCAGTCCACGTCCTCGGGATCGTTTGAGTCTTGCTCTTGCAGAGCAAGCAGCGATGGCATATGTTTCCTCATGACCGGAACGAGTGGTTTCAAAGAAAGAAAGCCGCTGCAGCCAGCCGAGCTGGAAGTGGTCAGAATAGAAACACTACTATGATATAATATGTGTGCAACAATATAAATGAAATTCAATAATGTAGGATACAGCATTCACGTGACCCCTCGAAATCAATAATCATGATCTGAACGTTGTGGAGAACCGTCACCATCTTCTTACTGACACACACACTTCGTAAATCATTGTCGTAAATCTCAGCTCAAATGGGTATCGTCGAGAAGGTGACCTCCATACATAGCGGTTTCTGGACGATGCTGATGCGCGATTGTCGCGGCACTTTTTATATTCTCTAGATTAAGGAGATCGAGGGTGAGTAACATACTAGACTTTGATAGCGAATTGTTGGGTTTAATAATTCCGATGTGATTATGCAGAGGAGATGGCTAGGAGTGAGTCTTTCTTCTCCGTATCTCAGAGTGTATTGCACCTGAACAATATGCCTCAGCCCAGAAGAACAAGGTACATATCGAAAAGACAGTACACTAGTTGCGATTGGCAGGCGCTTTGACACGTTCACCCCAAGTAGGCTACAGAATATCACCTTGGTCTTCTGAAAGCAAAGCTAGCTCGGTATCGGGCCCAGCTTCTCGAACCTGCCTCCAAGTCTGGACCCGCCGGTGTCGGGTTTGACGTGCAGAAATCAGGAGATGCCCGAGTTGCATTGATAGGATTTCCGTCTGTGGGGAAGGCGAGTTCATTCATAACATGCACGAATATTATCTGAAGAGGAACTTCAGTCCACCCTCCTCAGTAAATGTACTCACACCGCGTCCGAAACGGCAGCATATGAATTCACAACCCTTACTGTCAGCAACTCTCATCCAGTATATCCTATTGATGACTGACTTGTACGGAATACTTAGGCGATACCTGGAGTGATCGAGTACCAGGGGGCACGTATACAACTGCTCGATCTTCCTGGAATTGTTGAGGGTGCTAGTCAAGGTTTGTTTCCCATTCTTTCCAAGTAAAATATATCATTGTTCTGTAGGCCGCGGTCGAGGGCGACAAGTTGTTGCTAGTAAGTACCTTGATCCACTCAAATGAAAGACAATAAGTATGGCGCAGCGGCGAAGACAGCAGATCTTATTCTCATCATGCTCGACGCAACAAAGTCTGAAGAGCAGCGACGGCTTCTCGAGATCGAACTCGATGCAGTTGGTATCCGCCTTAACAAACGCAAACCTGACGTAGTGTTCAAACGGCGAACAACTGGTGGTGTGAGTAGTTAATTCATGTATCCTGTCACATTCTCATCATACTTGCAGATAACTGTACGCTGAAGCTGCATTCATCCGCCATTCAAACCTCTAATGGATTATTTAGCTGAATACTACCGTAAAACTCACTAAGACAGACGAGAAGACTATTCGCACCATTCTGGCAGGATGTATGCTCCCTGAGTTTGGCTTCCATGTGCCTCACTGACCAGACGCAGATAAACTACACAACTGTGATGTGATGATCCGAGAAGATGTATGTCAATAATTCTATCATTCGGCTATCACTCACAATGTTATTATTGGAAGATAACAACCGACGAGTTCATCGATGTTCTCATTGGTATGATATCTGTGTGTGCCGAGGCGAACTACTCATTTGACTCGGAAATTTATAGGAACTCGAAAATATATACCTTGTTTATGTATGTTTTGTCTGCTTGGCATGAGGTGCCACTTAGATCTGACTTCGGACAGATGTTTATAACAAGATTGATGCGATTAGTCTGGAGTTGGTCCGTACAAACCGACCAACTTGATGCTGACATCCTGAAGGACCCGTGATAATCAGGTAGATAAACTTGCAAGAACAGAGAATACAGTCGTGATCAGTTGCGAGATGGACCTCAAGTGAGTCGACTATTTTCACATAGATCTGTTCCCTCGTCTTACCACCAACTAGTCTGGACTACCTTGTCGAGCAGATATGGGAAAGCTTAGAGCTTGTCAAAGTTTACACAAAGAAAAGGGGTGCACGACCAGACTTGTCGGATCCTGTATGTTTGAGAAAAGGCGCTACTATCGAAGTGTGTAACATCGCTATCGTTTCATAGACTTTCTTGACATCGCTATAGGACGTCTGTTTGGGTATTCATAAATCGCTCGTCTCAAACTTCCGCAATGGGCTTGTCTGGTGAGTAAACCGTTTGTCGGCCCACACATACACTTAGCTTTCGACAGGGTATATAATATTTTGCTTGCATAGCGGATTATGGCCACTGACTACTCGCATAGGGTCGTTCATCCAAGTTCTCACCCCACGCACAGAAGGTCAGTTTGAACCATCAGTTGCAAGACGAAGATGTTGTTTCAAGTATGTTTCCTTCTTTGACAGTATCACTGTTGTTAACATTTTGCCCTTCGTAGTTTTCACGAAGTAGTCACTGTTCAGTTACGACCTATCGGCATGAAGAATTTTGAGGAACACGAACAAATATAATTGCTCTGGCTTCCGGCTCTTGACTTGTTTCTGCCCATAAGTTGTCACTTGCAAAATTTAAGTTCAACGATCTCCCCCCGATCCAAAATTTAACTACAGATTACCTGTGCGTATGTGGGCCAATTGCCTATGATGTGGTATAGACGCTATCATGTCCAGCCGCCTTGGAAGAACTTGGGAGGCACTCATACTCCGAAATTTTCATGCGTTCGCTGTGATCGAGGTCATCTATCCCGTGGACTTATCAGTGATTCCACGAGGTACTACCAGTATGGCTCCTTTCGCGAACAGTATCGGTTACTTAAAAAAGTGGCCGATGCTGTGCTGTCACGGTCAGCACAACTTTAAAAAGTAAAAATCTGTCACAAACATGCTAGTCTGACTCGTTATAAATGCTTTTCATCGTTCAGTGTATCGTTCAGCGCTCAGCACCGATAACCTAAGGTTCGTGCGTGTGCCTTATCAGCACTAACCGCGGTCACACGTGCCGCCGTAAAGGACGCAAATTGGTGGGCGTCTATGTATGATCCAGATCACCGACGGCTCATCGGAATAAGTTGAAACCGTTCGGAAATTAGACTCTTGACGTTGAAAAACGGCGTACCTCCCTGTAATTTCTCCTCCCAACTTTCCCCTTCAGTCCTACAATCAATGGGTTCCATTGCCTCTCCTTCCAATACTCCTCCAATCGAACTTTTATTCCTTGGAACAGGGACTTCCTCCTCGATCCCTCATCTGGACTGTCTGACCGCTCCGGCCAATAGAAAGCCCTGTTTGACCTGCCTCTCTACGCTAACTCCAGAAGGAAAAAAGAATATCAGGCGAAATACATCCGCGGCTCTTCGCATATCAGGCAAGGACGGCAAGACAACGTGAGTCCACATCATTGACTTTTCTTCCTGATCCCAAAATTACGGACTTGATTTAGAACTGTGGTCATCGACGTGGGCAAAAACTTTCAAGCTGCGGCGGTGGAGTGGTTCCCAAAGTATGGATTGAGGGAGATTGACGCTGTTATCATCACCCATGCACATGCCGATGGTCAGATTTGTTTATTTGAGATGAGCGATGGTGCTGATTGTCTTGATAGCCATGAACGGCTTGGATGATCTCCGAGGTAAGGACATGAATAACTCTGACATAGCATTGCATGGATGTTCATTATTACATAGGATGGACGCTCGGAGGTGCCATACAAACTCACATCGATATCTATGTTTCTCAGTCCACGTTTCGCGAAGTTCAAAGATCTTTCCCTTATTTGGTCTCCAAAGAATTCGCATCTGGGGGAGGTGATGTAAGTTTTCCTTTCGTTAACTCGGACATCTATTTGATATCCCGGAAAACAGGTGCCGGATTTTGAATGGCACATCATAGAAGATAAAGTCCCATTTGAAATCAAGGATACGGGTGTCCATATTACCCCATTCATAGGTTGGTTAATGCTGTGATAAAGGTCTATTCTCGATTGACTAAACTGGTTAGTCCACCATGGCAGGGTGTTTACCACAGATCCTCCGCCAGCCTTTGCACCGACACCATGCGCGACCCAGCCAACAACTCCCAACTTGTCAGGAAGGTCATCCCCCGTAAGACCGCTGTCAGGTACCTGCTGCAGGAACCCACCACCCAAGATTAATCCCTACTTGTGCTTTGGGTTTTCGATTCAGGACAGCATCATCTACATTTCTGACGTATCTTTGATACCTGATGATACTTGGGCTTTCCTAGAATCGGCAAAGAGACCGATGCCAGTGTTGGTGCTCGACTGCTTGCGGCTGAGGTCCCATACGTCACATATGGGTGTTCAGGAAGCAGTAGCTACGGTGCGAAGGTTGAATCCCAGCCGAACCTATTTGACTGGGTTCAGCCATGATATTTCTCATGATGAATATGTAACCATTGGCAGGGCCGCGGGGGCAGAGGGCCCTAACTTAGATACAACTCGCATGAGCGTCATGGAGCGTCGGGGGACGGAGATGATTCGAGAAGGGAAACCCGTTTGGATTCGGCCATCCCATGATGGATTGAGGGTATTTGTATCTAGTGATGATTCGGTCATTGACGAGACATACGACTGAACAGGAAGTTGTTCTTGTATTGCCATTCCCCTTGAATCTTGATTTTGTCGTGTATCTTTAAATATACTTTTAGTTGTACCGTAGAATTCGGGGTCCTGGCGGCCGTTAACGGAATAGGACTTGCTTACGTGATACAATCCTGTTCAATTGATTATTGCCCTTCCACCCACACATCAATCTTCTAGGCTTGCAGTAGTTGTCCTGTCCGCTCTCTCGTCCTGCTCTTTTAAACCGACTTGAATTGAAACCAGCCGTACCGGGGTCGTTGACAATGAAGTTCTTTTCTCAATCCTTCTTGTACGAGTGAGTAGTTTTTCATCCCAGTCAGGTTTGCCACTCATATGCTCAAAAACCTCCAGCGATCCCTGGTCCATTGTCTCTCTTGCCTTCTTTTTACGCTATCCCAATCCATACGCAGCTCATGTCATCTCGTGCGATGTCATTGATAGGCATCAGACAGAGTCGGGCTCCTTATTGACAACAAGGCTCATCTTGAAAAGGGGAGCTTTGCCAAGATGGGCTCCCCAAGGTATTATCTCAAGGGCTGAGTCATGGGTCATCGAGGAGAGCGAAGTGGATCCCTTTGGAAAGTTTGTTCGGTGCAGGACCAAAAACCTTGATCATGTCAAGGTTATGCAAGTTGAGGAAACTCAACTGTTCGAGCAAAATGAAGACGGGTACGTGTCGCTTATCTTACACACACGAGTCTCACTAACGGCTGTCTCGACTAGCCGTACTATGCAGACAACTGAGGCATACATTACCTCCAAGTTCGGCTGGGGAATGACAAAACGAATCGAGAGCCATGGACTAGCTCGGTTCAAGGCTCACGTTCAAAGAGTTAGTTTGTTTTGCTGTCTTTCTTCATCATTGGTCATCTGATCTCCTCGTAGTCTCGGCAGGGCGTCTCTCTCATCCTTGACCTAATTCGCCAGGCTCGATTGCAGCCTATGGCGTTAAGCTCTTATATAACACATCTCCACTCAGAACATTCTTTCGCTTCTACGGATACTCCGACTTCATCCCACAGCTCAGACAATACTGGCCATGCGCCAGAGGAGTATTCTTCGCCCACGACTGAAAACACTTGGCTGGGCAAAATATGGGGCGGTAGGTGATCGGTCTGAAGTCCATTCTTACTTACTTGCTTCCTCCTTGACATAATTTGGTTTTAGTTTTACGTGTTGCACTCATTGTATCATTAGTGGCATCTAGTACCCTCACAAATGTTGTTCGCGGATATGTGCGTGCTGCGTAAGTTGTACATGCGCGTAAGTTATGTGAGTGTGCATGTGAGGCGTGTAAGAGACGAACTGTTTTTCACATCGGCCGCAATGATGTCGTTCCAACTTACCGCTCGCCTAAATCATCGTTCCCTTCTTTGTACTGTGGACGTTTATTGATTTCGTCATTCACCCTTTCGAGTCCAAACTCGCGCTCGGTGATACAGTTAGTAGTAACCAATGTACTTTCCTACCTCAGCGGCAAGGCAGTTGTTGACTGTTCCTGCTCTACCTGATGTCACCCCCGAACCTGTACTCTGCTTCGAAGCTAACCCGCGCAAGTCCCTCTTCTGCTTACTCACAAGGAGTTCTTTGACCGTTTGGCGCGTTCGAGTACGTAGGTTTTAGTGTTATCACATTCTGCAACTCAGCGCAATCCATGTCCATGTCTTATAGCCTTCTGCCCCGCTGGCCCACATCTCGAGGGCAGAAACCTCTCTCTTAGAACATGGCGACAATACGGCGGTGACTTGGTCACCAGACGGGAGTAGGATCGTCATTCAGGTCTGCTCTTATTTCTAACTGAGCGGTCGACCATCCTGCAGACATTGATTTCGTGGATATAGACTACGATGCCATATTTGATCCTGGTCACGGTCGATTATATTCCAGATGCATCGGTATACCAGCCATCGCACATGGGTCCGAGTGTGCAGCGCAACTTCCTACCGGGTCCAGGAGAGGGCATACCACTGCAGTCACTAAGCCTCGCACTCGAAGGTGTGATATGTACCGAGGGGCAGGTTCTCAGGTCGGCTCAAGCAATTCGTATTGATGTATTTGACTGAAAGTTTCTTTAGCGTTTCACCACGCAAAAACTGTATCATCTTTTCAACTAGTTCCCCGCCTTCTGTACAACGCATACCATGGCCAGTATACGACGAATCAGACATCGGAGAGCAGACAGCGCGCAGGTCGCTTATGGGTCATGACACTTGGATTTTGAATGACCATGAGTCGCCTTGGCTTTTAGACCCTGATGGTAGGACCCTGATTGGCTGATGTCCTTGACGTTACTTACGAGAGCCGAAGTTACTGTCACGAAGCTCCTCCAACACTCGATATCGGGGGTGGAAACCTGGATCACCTCTGACGGGAGAGCATATTTTGTCCGTTTACAAGAAAGTAGGTATTCAGAAAACGTTTCAGAGCTTGACGAGGAGGAGACTGAAAAAGTGGGTTGCTCTGTTCTACCACTGCTCAATTTCTTAACACAGCTTCTGCACCAGAGTTCAACATCGAACCTAGCTAACGGTACATCAATTGACAGTTCTGGCTCGCAGCCGCACTACCATTGGGAAGGCACGTGTATCCATGACTTTGACGTTCCGCGTTGGGTGCAAAAGCAGCGTAGTACCGATGACGGCAGCGGTCAGTCATCGTCAACCTACATTGAACCTCGCCGGGCAATGGCAATAGCCGTCAACACGAGATTTTCACTCGTTGCAGTTGGTACTCAAAAGTTTGCAGAATCGCTTTTATTCGGTTCTTCCAACTAATTCCCCTGATCAGTGGCTCCATCGAATTTACAAGTTTTCCAACTCCGAATGAGCCTACACCCATTCCAAAAGTTATCGATATACCAAACCCGTATAACCGTTTGAGTGGCTCTGTGACTGCGATGGAGTGGAGCTCGGATGGTTATGTGCTAGCTGCGGGGTGGACACATGGCTGGGCAATATTCAGCGTGGGTGGACGATGCCTTGCATCAAGCTTTGGTGTCGAAGATCACATTGATGGCGACAGGTGAGTTCGTGACTCAACAGAATGCCAAAGCACTTACATTTTGCCATAGGTTTCAAGATACTTTCATGCATGCGGTCGAGAACCTTGTCAGTATGAGCTGCTATCCACTTTGAAGCACTCTGATTTTCAACTTTGACAGTTCTGGGCACCGGGAAACTTCGAGCTAGTTGTCCTAACACCCTCCGGAATAAGTGAGTTTGTTCTTCCTGCGATACCAAAATCTCACGCGATAATCATAGAACCGGACGGCCAGGTTTTTGTTCTGCCATTTGCCAAAAGCGCAACGACATGCCAACATTCTCCAGTGAGTTCATGTTATCACTCGACGATACAAGTTTTATCATACAGTGAGCAGGATAACACTCGTTACGCGTTTCTGCAAATGGACGATCGAGCGCTGGTGTACCGAGGCGCTGAGCAGCCTGACATGAGCGTCATAAATCCAGAGTCAGATGTGTGGCAACACATCAAAGTCAGTATCCCAATCATCACATACATATCGTTAAACTTACGTATGGCAGATACCTCAATCCTACCTGGCAACAAATTGGCCCATAAAATACTCGGCACTCAGCAGTGATGGGCGACTGATTGCCATTGCCGGAAGGCGGGGTCTGGTACATTACAGCTCGACCTCGGGCAGATGGAAGATATTCTCGAACATCGTTCAAGAGCAGGCATTTACGGTGAAAGGAGGACTTTTGTGGTTCCACCATGTTCTGATTGTTGCAGTGGAAATTTCCAAGTCGTATCAGGTTCGTGCAAGCGCTCGCTTCCATGTGGAATCCAACTGACTGTCCCTCACCAGATACGGCTCTACTCCAGAGATATGGAACTCAGCAATCAAAATGTGCTCCACCGCGAAGTCCTAATGTCGCCTGTAATCATCTTATCGTTGGTTGACAATTCACTACTGGTCTATACTGCCGACAACATGCTTAGCCACTATTTGATCATACCAACTGCTGACACAATCAAGCTGCATTTGTGCGGAAGTATCACATTTGACGGAATCATTGCCTCACCTAGCGCAGTGAGGGCATTGAGCTGGATGATCCCGAACACTCAGAAACGTACGTTCATCGACTTCCAAAACACTACTTACTCATTTTTTGTATCCAGGACTCGGTGACCCTGTGGATGACCTCGCAGTCGCCACTGTATTAATGGTGGTTGGTGGTCAGTTGGTGTTATTGCGTCCAAGAACGGTGCGCTATGATGAGACATCAACGCAGCAGATTATTAACTTTGCCTTCAAGTCGGGTACCCAGGAGGTGAATTACGACATGCAAATCTTCGCAGAACGCATCGAATTCTGTTGGATACATCTCCGTGGTATTGGTGCACTCGAGAATTCACTCTGGGGTTACGATGGACAGAACATGCGAGTTTGGCTGAATGCACTTGCAATTGAGTCGTCCGGATCTGCCGATGAACCTTCAAGCGTCAAAGAAAGTGTGAGCATACCATTAGACTTCTACCCGTTGTGTGCGTGTGTATTCCTCATATGTGTTGGGGTACTGTGATATGCTGATGGACAAGCAGCTGTTCTCATGGACAAGGGAATCATCATCGGCGCGGAGCATGAGGCTGCAACGAGAATGAACCTCTCATTTGTAATGTTCAGACATGCCACAAGTGTAAGTTTCTTCTCTGACTACTCGTGTCTATACTTACCTGTTTTAAGTCCCATCTTTTTCTGCACCACGTCCTCCGTTATCACCTGGAATCTGGGCAAGTGAAGGAGGCAGTGACGCTTGCCAAACACTATCAGCATCTGGTCTTCTTCGCACATGCATTAGAAATACTGCTACATACAGTCGTGGAATCTGAGTGCACAGTAGACTCAGAAGATCCTTCGACAAGCGCGTCGCCTGAGTCTGGTACACTCACGGCAGTGATAGAGTTTCTTGATCACTTCGACGCCTCCTTGGACGTTGTTGTCGGATGTGCTCGGAAAACTGAAATGACCAGATGGAAGCATCTCTTTAGCATTGTCGGGAACCCACATGCACTTTTTGAGGTGAGACACAGTTAAGTTTCGTAGAATGGAATCCCGCTAACTTATCGTGACAGACGTGTTTGGCGTCGAAACGGCTGAAGACAGCAGGTTCATATTTATTGGTGCTGCATAATCTTGAGCAGCTCGATGAAAACAATAAAGATGCCGTCCGCTTGCTGAAATGTGCTGTGAAAGCACAGGACTGGCAACTTTGTCGGGAACTCTTGCGCTTCTTGCATTCCATCGATGATACTGGAAAGGCGCTCAGGCATGCCTTGTCGGAGACATCTCTGGTGGCCCAGAAACGCGTCATGGTACCTTAGATTGTGATTTTCAGTAGTCATGGGAGTAGGTCGTTCGAACTTCGTAGTACCACGTGTAGCGTGTACAACCGCAGAATTTTTCAAGGATCGCAATTTATGGCACATCGTATACCCTCTGCGATTATCTTAGGCGCCGGTGCCATTCATTCAGTAGTCCGAGTTTAGCGCTTTGACCATAATCACCATCACCAGTACTGTCAGGCAGTACTAATACGGCCGCCGGCGTCACGACGGTACTTGGCTGCTTTCGAGGCAAGGCTCGGAACTAGTGCCTAAGCGCTCTGACTTTGTCCGATGGCGAGAAGGGTACTTTTTCGCTCCATAAGGTCCCTAACCCATGTTTTACAGGGATCGCGTGCCATGTCTACAGACGTCGTGTCGATCTCTTACCAAACACTTGTATCTTCACCCTCGTCCCTAGAGACATCTATTGGTGAGTCATGTATAACATCGTATGCCGCTATACCAATACCGATCCTTTCTCTTACAAGAGGAGGCGTTTGGATCGCATCCTCAGGCTCTCGGGCTTATACTTGTGAAAGATCTTCCGCCTGTATACCCTGTCTACAGAGAAAGATTGCTCAAGCTTGCATACAAATTCGCTCATCTGGACGAGGACGTAAGAGAGAGATATGTGGACCCTGGGAGTATATACAGGTAGGTCAAACCTGCACTTGCTCAGGTGGCAAGATTTTGACTGCGGCCTGAAGCTACGGATGGTCGCACGGCAAAGTCAGTGTTACGAAGGCTCAAAGATGTTAATCAGTAAACTGGACTGACTGATGTTGCCCCTCAGGAAATCATGAATGGACGACCAGGTATGTGTACCGCCTATTGGCTGGACACCTGCTTACCTTGAAACTAGATACGCTGAAAGGATCATACTACGCTAACCCAGTAGTAGATGTTCCCGACGTCAACCCCGCTGTAAAAGCTGCGTATCCACCAATCTACGGCGATAACGTTTGTGTGTATTATTCTTTTTACTACAGTATATTGAATACTAAATGTTACCAAGGGCCCGACAAGAACCAAAGCGGTATAGAAGGTTTTGAAGAAGCCTTCAAGGATCTGGGAGGGTTCGTTTTCGATGTTGGGTGTCAACTTGCGGGCGCCTGCCAGCCCTTTGGTCAGTATATGCAACAGAGCATCGCTGCGAACAACCACTGATAAGGATCTTAGTCTCCAAATATTTGACAGACGTGTCTTTATCCGTTCCAGAACTCATCAGCACACAAACCGCTAAGAGCTAGTTCGGTAACCCAAGGTAAAGTAAATTTGCCAACTTCAAGGATGATGTAAGGTCGGCACAGTAGCTTCCGGTTTGGAGACCGACATCGGAGCTTGAACTTCCTTTGATCCCATGTCTAGCTATCACACACCCCAGCATACGACTCAAGATCTATGCAATCGGAACAACATCTGGGCTAGTGTCATATCGATAGTGTTATCAGCTCAAGTCCACATCCTCTCCATGGCTCAGGAGTCATCTCATACTACTACAGAGAGGGCTGTTTGGACCGACACAGAGGTTGATCAGTTTCTCCTCTACCTATCCAACAATCGGGACAAGATCGGTGATGCTGGCAACTTCAAAGATGTGACGTACAATGGCGCTGCAGAGGCTATTGCTGAGTACCTGGAGCATGGTCCAGCGAAGAGTGGGGCAATGTGTAAGACAAAATGGGCGTCAGTAAGTCCTATCAATATATAATTTATTTATAGACTTGATAATAGATTGTGTAGTTAAAGCAGACTTTCAATGCTATTCAGAAGTATCGCCAGCAGTCTGGTGTCCACTGGGACAATATTAGAGGGGCAAATGTCGAGGGTGAGGCTTCAACCTCAGTATGGAATGAATATGTTTCCAAGAAGGTACGTCAAGTTCACTAATGCTATTTCATGCGTCTCACTGTTTGATAATAGGGAAATTCAGTCATGCGCCCTTTTCGTGCATCGGGATGGAGACACTACGAGCAAATGGACGGCATAATACCACGAGGCAGTGGCGCCCGAGGGCGCACAGGGTACCAACCCAATATAGCTCTCCCCCCTCCCTTAAGCTCAAGCTCCAGTCCTAGCGTACCCGCAGGTGAACACAATACCATGATTGGTCCCATTATTGCCACATCTAGTGCTGGTGTTGCTGGTCCTAGCACCGCCCCTGCAGCAGCTGCCCTCACTTCTACACCTGCTTCTCCATCCTTCATGCCTCCTCCTACTTCTCCGTCCTTCATGCCTCCTCCTGCTTCTCCGTCCTTCATGCCTCCTCCTGGCAAACGTTCTCACACCGACATGGAGCTGACCGCCTCATCTGCATCTACCTCAGTTTCTCAAATGCAAATGCCGCCTCCCTCCGAGTCGAGCTCTATCAAAAGAGCGAAGACAGTATCAGGCCGCGCATCAGGCCGTGGATCAGGAGGCCATGCACAGACTCAGGGCGGTTCCACCAAGAACACTAACACGTTGGACACCAAGATATCGAAGGCCACCACAGCTGTAGCCGTGATGGGATTCCAGAGCTCTGTCAATCGCTTGACAGATGTAATTGCTGAGCGCATGGTCTATCCTGAGGATCGGGTAATGGACCAGCGCTCGAGGGCCATGCAGATGTTGCAGGTTGAGGATGCAGAGTTGCCGTTCGCAGAGCGGCTTATAATACAACAGGTTTTTTCTATGGACCCTGCAGCTACTGACATATACACACAGACTGCTGACAAGGAGATGCGCCGTGCTTTTATTCTTTCCACAGCCCAGCGGTTGGGACTTCAACTTCCTGCGCCTGGTAGTTAGTATACTCATGTAAAATGCGCTATTGACACAACATATGATGATAATGCAGTAGTTGAAGCATGGTAATGCAAACATCTTGTGCTTTGATGGCGGCGGATACATGAGAGTCGTGCTACAGTGCTACATATCATTGTCAGAATCTTCAAAGGAGTCATCTAGCAGGCCCCGCTGCTGCAAAACAGTCTGATAATCTTCCCACATGCAGCGCGCAATACGATTGCGCACTTCCTTCATGCCTCCCGCTCCGTCAAACTCCTCCTCATCATCGGGGATCCCTTGGTGCTCCGGGTTGTCGTAATCGAAGTGTTCATTGTCGTCGTCCGGGAGCACGTTGTCGTCAGGGTTGTGAGTCGATATGAAATTGTGAATCGCGCATAGCGCAGCAGGTATACGTGCCTGGATGGTCATAGGATATTCAGGTGAGAGCAACAGAATACGAAAACGGCGTTTTAACACGCCAAAGATCCGCTCAATCACATTTCGAGCGGATGAGTGTCGCAGATTGAAGAGCTCTTCTTTGGTTGTTGGTCTGCAAACATAGAATAGTTATTAAAAAACCTAAAATATAAAATAAATAAAACATACCTAAGATTAGCACGTCCCCATTCAGCCAAATGATAACGGACACTGCGGTAGGGGACTAAGAGCTCGTCACACAAAGGGAATCCCGCATCCGCTAAGAAATATTTGCCGGGAGGGATATACAAACTGCCTGAACGAGCCTCGTCATAGAGGCGTGCGTCTGTGGCGGATCCCTCCCAGCCAGTGAGAGCGTAGGAGAATTTGAGGTTGAAGGTGCAGGCGAATAGACAGTTTTGAGAAATAAAACCTTTGCGATTACGATACGAGGGGCGATCAGATGATGAGGGGCGAGCATGGATGTGGCTGCCGTCGATCGCACCGATAGCGTCCTTGAAGTAAGGCCAGAATTTTGGATTGTTACGGATGTTGCTGGAGATGTCATCGGTGTCGTTGGGAGAACATACGTATGTTGTGTAGAACGGGGGGGACGCAAAGATAAACAAGATCTTCCGGAAATACCTGGAATTATTTGTGAGCTCATCATAAATAACATTAAAAACAAACTTACTTTGAGATGGTGTCGTTTGACCGTTGAAAACGCTCCCCGACATGACGGATCGTTAGCCCTGTAACGCACGTATATAGAAAGATGGCAAGTTGCTCTTCGAGCGAAACGTGGCGTGAGCTAGCATAACCCAAAACACGAAGTTCGGCTATGAGCGCGTGAAAGACATCTGCATGCATGCCAAGTTCGCATCGCATACGATCCGGGTGACCAGTGATGAGTTCCATGACCCATTCTTCACCTGAGAGGGCCGATGTGTGGTATGCCTCAGGTACAGAGTCCTGAAGCAATGAGTGCGTAGCAGTCAGAAGGACACTGACGAGTAGTGCAATGTGACGTAGGATTCGCATATGATTCTGCCGACGGCCTGCAGCTGGCGGCTGAACAGCCTGGGCTTGAGCGAGTTGTTGGAGCAAGGGGTCAATGGTATCCATAATCTATCCCTAAAGCAATGAGCGCGATGGATAACAAGTCCTACTAATATTGATATCATAAGGTTGAAACTCAGCTATCGGCACCTACTGTGCCGGCCTTACATCATCCTTGAAGTTGGCAAATTTACTTTACCTTGGGTTACCGAACTAGCTCTAAAGCTCGCCTTCTGCACTACTTCCCTCCTTCAGAAAATAGCCCCACTACTGAGGATGAACCCATCGATAGCTGGTGCGGCTTTCATAAAGATCATTCACTCCTGACAGGGTTGTGTTCAGTAAGTACATGCCCGAGTGCATAAATGCTATGTGTAAAGTTTTGAATGCTGTACTTTAGGCTATATTCCTTCGTGAAGAAGCAGGATTGGAGCCTACCATTGTTCCTTCACCTTCTCCGACGTCCGGCTTGTATATCAGAACCCGAGGTGGAGATCTGACAAAGGTTTCAATTCCTCCAGACTGCCTTGCCTTCCAAACCGGCGAGGCCCTGGAGCTAGTCACTGCTGGAAAGTTACGGGCGACACCTCATTGTGTGCGGGTTGGGCAAACACAAGTTGGAGCAAAGATATCGCGAGAGACGTTTGCTCTCTTCATGCAGCCCGATACTCACCAACGTATCTCTGAAAGTGATACCTTCGGGTCATTTAGCAAGAAGGTGCTGGAGGAACACTATGAAGAAGCCAGGGTAATATGATCCACGTATTATATCTAAGTATTTAACAGTCCAAGTGACCGAGAAATGTGCGTTGTACAATGAGACGAGTGATACAGTAAACTAGATAAATTACAGTCAACTTAAAGTTGTGGCCCTGTGGATTGGCGATGTGGGGTGAGCGCATCTGGTAGCACAGACATAACAGCAGCCGCAAGACTGCTACGTTTGAAGGTTGAGGACCGGTCAAGCTTGCCATCGCTCACTTTGCCTGAACCGGGGGGGTGCTTGTCGTCGCCATCAGAAATTACACTCCAGTCTTCGCTGACTCGGCGTGAATCTACGGAAGTCCGGGAACCAGAACCGGAACGCTCCAGAGTAGATTGCGAGGGCACAATATTCTGCTCATTGCGGATGGCGCCTTCGACATCATGTGCAGCCTCTGATCCACTGGGGTCCCGTTTGATCAATGAACGAGCATATTCAAGGTCACGGTAGATGGCCTCGATTGCAGTCGCAACACCATTCTCCTAAACTTGAGTTAGAAATGTCGGCAAGTCTTAATCAAGTTGACTTACAGCGCGTATTTGTTCTCCAACTAGTTTCGCCCTCTCAATTTGTCTGACGTCTGTAGTCGCAGAGACAAGCGCCTCAGTCAAGCTCTCCGCAGTCAACTTGCGGACACCCGTTCCTATGCCAAGGGCTTCAACACGATCAGCGGAGAAAAACTGATCTCCAAAGAAAGGTTTGACGATGGTTGGTATGCCAGCTACAGGAAATGGATCAGACCGGCCAAAAAAATTAATAGCATACGGACCCCTTAAACTTGCGCCAGTAGTTCCAGCACCACCGTGATGACATGCAGCATCAATGCGCTGGAACAACCAATCATGAGGGATGGAATTAATCGGATAAATCTGTTTGGGTAATGGTTCATCAGGCTCGGATGCTTCCGAAGACTTCGTATGCAATCGATCGGACCAGCCCTTGGAGAGAATTGCATATACACCACTCCGTAAAACAGCCTCTATCACGCAATGGGTCATTGCCACCGGGTCTGAGACAACGATGCTGCCAAAGCCAATATAGACGACTTTCTTTCCAGCTTCATGAGCTGAATCGATAAACAGAAGGAGATCGGGTGGTGGAGTCCATTTTTTGGCACCCACTTCTGCATCGTCGAGGAACCAATAACCTGATGATAATTTGAGATGAACAATTGTCATGCTAGATGAACTCGAGCATACCAGTGATGCGGATCCACTCAGGCCAATCTAAAGGAGGGGGCACAAGCGTAGGACTGAAATTATACAGAAAAGGTATCTTGTGAATCTGCATACGATCAAGGCTGGTATTGCCTATATGCAGAGTATTACGTCGCCAACGGTTTACTTGCCCTGAGATAGCACGCCAAAATACTTGATCGAACATAACGTAAGTCTAGCGTCGCTGTCGTCAATCCAAGTGATGAACAAATACTGTTTCAACGAACCATATAGTTATACCCACCACCCATCTGGAAAAATTATCATGAGCTGCAGCCTCGTGCAGTAATGTCTCACCAACCTTGTGTTCTGGAACAGCGAAGGCATGTGGGTATGCCCTGGTACGTGTCCAAGTCATCGTGAAAGCTCTAAAATAGGGTATCTTGAGTGCCTCTGCAATGTGAATTCCGGCCATGGCACTGGGACTTTCAATTAGGATGTCTGTGCCTTGACATGCTTCCCATGCAGTCTTCAAAAGATCATCAATCCACCCGCGAAACTGGTAGAATGTAAGATCGGTGTGCACTCATACGGCATAAACACACCTTTGACATGCCTTCCTTGAGGAATGCCACAGTAAATGTGCCATTCTCAACACAAATGCGCATAAGTTCTGCTGGATCTCCACCAACATAGCCGAACTCAATTCCATACTGCCAGGTGTGTCAATGATGTGCCACTCAAAGAGGTGGGGGACTTACAGCTTCTATCCATTCACGGAATTCGCCATGTGTTGCAATTCTGACTCGATGACCATCTTCTATGAGGCCTTTCGCCAGAGCTATGTAAGGCTGTACATCCCCTCTCGAGCCGATCGTCAGGAAGGTGAAATGTAAGGATTCCTTGGGCTTGAACGTCAGGAATGTCGACGAGGAAGAGGTGAACATGACTGCTGGGAGTGATTCAGACATGCTTTCGGGTGGAAGGGCGGGATCTGTGTCTGAGGGATGGTCAGGCTCGAACTCCTCCAAGATGAGTGCATCCTTTTTCCCCTGACTGAGAACCGGGACATCTCCCGCACTCCCACGCTTCCTGGCCTCTTCCATTTGCTGTTCCAGAATACCGACGAATGCTTTTCGGCGGTCATCGAAGCCAAATTCAAAAAAGAGTTCCTCGTGGCCTTTGATAACAACTGTGAGACCGTAGTGGCCGAACCGAGTACCCTTGGTTTGCTCAACACTCAAGATATCTCGAATAGGAAGAATCATCTAGGAAAGTGTGTTATGAGGGGTAGACCCCGAAGATTCAAGAATTACGTACCCGAGTCTTGGAAGAAAGAGGGCCAGTCGACTTGAAACAGAAATAGTTGATCGAGACATACAGCCGGCCAGGTACTGGTAAAAGACGGAATATATATCCAGTAAAATCTAAAAGATGCTTAACAGCAAAACATGGGATGAAAGGAATACACATACACCCCAACAAGATCTCCTTCTCGTCAAAGGCAAATGCAATCCTGAATTTCTCAGTAGCTTCCGGATCGACGGAAGCTTCTGGTGTCTCAAGAACACTGTATCCAAGATCACCTTGGGCACTTCCCAAGCTCCGCCGGGCTGCTGATTCTGCATTTGATGGGACAGAATATACTTCACTTATGCCGCCCCCACTGGGAGAGGCACTAAGCGAAGACGCATTCGAGGTAGAGGTGCCGAGGCGGCCACGGGGGACCTTGAGCCAAGAGGGTACTCCCACGTTCCATGGAACACTTGATGGGACGGACTTCGTGGATGGACTAGAAGCCAGATCACTCACAGACGTGGAAGGAGGATAGGTGTGGTCCGTAGGAGTAGCAATTGTGTATGCTTTGGAAAGCGCATGAAGCGCCTTATTTGAGTCTGGGGAAGATATCGAATTAGGCGAAGTTGTGATGGGCACCAGTGAAGAACCTGAGCTCTTAGTTATGTGAGTGTAGTCATCAGACGCTTCGGTAGGTTCGGAAGCCCCTGGTGAACTGTTCATGCGCCCCAAAGAGGCGGGAAGCGAATCGTGGAATGGTCGCAGGAGAGACGATAATCTGAAAGAGGAGCCAAAACGCGTGTCTGGTGTTGGAAGGCTCTTAGCACGATCCATACCATGAGTGGCGGAAGGCGGGCGGGTGGATGTGGTGTCCAAGACCGCCAGAGGCGACCTGGTGACCGATGAACGGTGTGAACGCACAGCATCGCGAATATGTTCCAACGCGACAGGTAAGTCTCGGAAGTAAGCGAAGAAATACGAGTCCACTGTATAATGCTCCTGCTCTTTGTCAAACACTTTGACCTCGATGGTCTCGCTGAAGTCTATCGCTGATGACTTCTCGACATCAAGGACAGACGAGTAAGGGATTGCGATCTGCAAGAGGCAACATGTTAATACGTAAACAAGTAAATATTATCAACCTGCCTTGACAGTGTCACCCATATTTTGCGCCTTGAAGATGACTTTCTTTATGGCCTTTACCCATTCCTCCCGACTAGGAACTGAGTCGGCTGACATGAGAACAGTCTTCTGATTGGTTCGGAGACGTATCTCCTTCTCTCCGGATGGATCACAAGATATCGCATAACGAAGGTCCACTATACCATTTATGAAATAGGGGTCCTAATGAGGTATGAGATAGCGATATCTCAGAATTTGTGTCACCCACCGAAGAAGAGTGATACCAAGAGAGGGCATCGTTCTTGAGCACGAACCAGTGCTTTGTCCACCGCTTAGTATGGTTAGCCCTCTTGCTGAGTGTCCCTGACTTGAGTATTTGATCCTACAGAGATTATAAAAGCACGCCCGACGTGTTTGCATGAATTTCTTACCTCTCGGGTGGGCATATGCGCAAAAAAGCACAAATGAGAGTTCGTGAGGTACATATATCCCTGTAATACTATGCGTGGCGTTATAATCACACACCAAAGCGTAAAACAAACTGCCTTACAGACAGACCGAAGCAACCAGCAAGGCATTTCTGTGATTGGTTGAACATCGCGAGTAGCATCAATGAATGAGATACTCGCCGGCTAGAACTTCGTCGATGGCATTCAATTCAAATATCTCCTTTAACTTCTCGGCTAGGCGCGCCCTCCTCCCGACTTTGACGGTCGTGATACTCCCAGCATAGCTAGTCCTACGTCTCATATGCACCCCAGGTCGGAAGACTGTCGACAACTCCGGCATAACATGTTCTGGTTTTGGTAAATCTGCGGGGCGCGGAGTGGTAGCTTCAAAGTCCTCGGCATCGGCATCCTCTTCGGAGAGACCAGTGACGTCCAAATCTCCGTCAGATGACTCATGTTCTTCCTCTGGCAATGGCAACGCAGTGCGTGATGATAAGGATGCTTCCGTTCTCCTCGAACGCGCAACAGGACGATAGATAGCGTGAATAGAAGAAGCCATAGGCAATGCTAGAACGAAATGTCAGAGAAGAAAATCAATGCAGGAGATCACGAACCTCCGGGATCTTCGTCGCTATCCTCATCACCGTGTGGCATTATGATGTTAGTATGGTCATCGTCCTGATCAGAAACATCTGCCCATGGAATAGCTTGTAGAGCTTGAATCAGAGTCTGAGTTCCAGCACGCATCTAAAACACGTGATTTGTCAATTGAATTACGCGTCACAGGGAATGGCCGTACAGAGCCTGTCCCTCGGAACGCCTGCAATGAGGGCCTATTACGGAGTGGAGAGGGTGAACGAGGCCTGATAAAAGGCGAGTCATCCTGTATAGCATTTGACAATTGGGCTTCTGTGTCGGTGTTTCCATTGGAAAGTACCAGTTTAGGCATTTGCAAGTTACTAGACACAATGGCTACAGGGTAGCGTCTGTTAATTTCTTGACGAAAAAAGGGAACATCGATTGTTACCTTCAGTTTGATCCGACTGCTCTTTGGCCTTGCTTTTGCGACTCAGACTGAACACACGCCTGTGCTCTCCGCCGTATTTAGGCGAACTTGGTGACTGAGCTATACTACCGATACTCTTTCCAAAATCCTTGGTTCTGAGCGCCAGACGTTTCGCGCGACTTTGTGGAGATGATGAGGAGTCCTCATCTTGTTCAACCTGGTCTGGCAAACGGGGATCTTGGGGTGGAAATTCACTTTCCTGAGGACTTGGTACTGCTGTATTACGAGTAAGGGGCTTCCAAGGGGGCGATTTGGACATGCTGGCTGGCTGGCTCTGCTCGAGGCAAGATAGTGAAGTGAGCCGAACGTAGATATCAGCGCCAGACTTGGCGATTATGCCCTATTTGGTTAAGCAGCCAAATTGTGGTGGCAAGTGAGAGCTCAATTATTCGTGGGAAAATAGAATGCAGACCTTCAAGATATTAAAGTCGCGTGTATTCAATGCTGCAAGCGAACCTGGTTGATGCTGAGCCGTGAAGTTTTACGCCCCGTTATACCTTGTTTCATTCATCTCTAGAAGCTATCGGATCATTGAAAATGAGAGGAGAATACTGTATTGGAGGTGCATCCTTGCTTTCGTGAGCATGTTTCTTTCCGCTTCCGCTTCCGACTTACCTTGGCCACAGATTCGTCGCACTATTGCTATTAATCTTTGTCCATGTAAGTATATCTCTTTATCGTCCTTTACCATTCTAATGCTGTCGCTTCTGTCAGGTTGGGCAAATAAATACCTCACTTGTTCCACATGGAATTGCAATGGTGATTGGTTCGCGGTCATAACTGTGGGTCCGAAACCTTTCTGATCACACCGTCTAGGCAAAAATCAACACTTCAGGGTTCGGGTTAGCGCCCCAAATAATTTATTCAGCCAATATGCTAATAAGACCACAGCCAGGCACTGAGTGATGCCATCCTTGATCCGGATCAAGGCATATACACCACCAATTATACATCACCGCTCGGCCAGCAGAATGGGCTGAGGCAAATCTACGAGTTCGGCCTCTATTCCTATTGTGCATACGTTAACAGCTCTGCTGGAACATGCACCAATCACACCATTGCCGACAAGTTCGAGCCCTTCATTGCGATAACGTCCGATATGCTTACCAACTACTCACAATATTGTGATACAATGTTTGCTGACACGACGTTCATCAACTCATCCTACCTGGGTTATAATTCTCGCGTTGCATACTACTTCATCCTCATTGGAACTATATTTGCCACCATGGCATTGTTCACGTAAGGTCCACCTCGATTCTCATGCACCGCACTCAGGCCTGCCTATAGTGGTGTCTTAAGAAAGGCACTCCCGTTCGTTATTTCAACGGCTTCATCGATAATTGCTGCGATATCCATTCTCATTGGCGCTGCCATCTGGACATCAATCGTCAAAAAGTGCGAAGGCATCAATACCCTGGACCTCGTACCACTCAATGGCGGCGTTTTATCAGGAATGATTGTGTCCTATGGGAATGGAATATACCTTACGTGGGCGGCCTTCGCCTGTTTGGCCGCAGCCACAGTGCCATACATGGTTAGGTATGGTTCTATTGTTCAATCAATTTGTTCAAAACGGCATGACTTATCACTCAACCAGTTGTTGCACATTCCGAGGATGACTGTTTGATGCTGGCCATCACACGTAAACTTCAACGGTGGACTTTCATGATAAGCGATAACCTATCACGATCAACGATGTGACTCCCCTCGTGGGACTCATCAATGAGGACATTTAGACTATACAACTATGTATTATTATTCAATTTATGGTGAAATGAAAGTGGCGCAGGTGTTGATGCTCCTTTGCTTCAAGTAAGGTTTATTGTAAAAACAAATCACAATTACCTTCACGGGAGAAGTGACGCATGTTACATACCTTTGATCATCCACAGCAAAAAATTATTAGCCCACCGCGAGGGTCGAACTCGCAGCCTTCAGATCGCCTAGTCATAAGAGTCTGACGCTCTATCCGATTGAGCTAGGCGGGCGGTGACATCTTGAGCAATCCCACTGACTTGAGCAGCGCCTGGACCATCCCGACGGAACGGACAAAGATGACCTCCGAGGGTGCGGGCATCACTTTGGTACACGCGCCGGTAGCAACGGAGGAGAGGTAAGCTTTGATGACAGGGGCAACCCAAGCTGTGCACTAACCTTGGTGGATTAACTTTCTTAGGGATTCCAGGCGACCCAGCGTCAACTCGCGCATACCTTCGGGACTTTTCGGTAGCAGACTGTGACTGTGAGCCTTCAACATACCGTACAACCTCCTAAGGCTTTAAAGACGCAAGTATCCGCTTCTTCTATGAAGCAAGCGAAACATGCAAAATCATTCACATAAAGATGCTGTGCGTCCCGACGTGGTTGCGATCGTTGGTTGCATTCAAGTCTGCACGGAGATCAAGATGCGGGCGCAAGCGCACATACTAGTACGAATCAGCGGTTGCGCTCCGACGGGACGTGAGACAATTGTTTGTCATTCGTTCCAGATAGAAATTTCTTAAATAGGCTGTGAAGGGTGAGAATGAGGCTGATGTAATGATGGGTTATAAGCCGTCTGCTTGCGTGGTCCGCAGCAAGAATTCGCCCCCTCTTGTTTAACCTGACTCGATTGAACACTCTACGACTTCGCAATAAAATCACTGCGCAGTATCAGATTCCCCAATGGCAGCAGACTCACAAACCGACGATTTCTATTCTTCCTTTGAGCCCTATGGTTCTGAATTCACAAAGCAAGGTGGTGGCCTTGACTTCGCTTCATTTCACTCGCCTTCAGACATCCTCGCACCCCATCCCGATCTATTCGAATTAGAACTGGATTCAAGCCTTGCGGCTTTCAACGAAGTCCAGCTCCAGCTCCTCACCGTAGATTCCAACGACGCTTACTCCTTTTTGAGATCCGATACTCCAACGTGTGGTCCTCCTTCCACGATCACCGTTTCCTCCGAGTCCACATACGACACTCTTTCCACTCACTCAGAGTCCCTCTATAACTACCCGGATTCTCCTTCCTTTTCTGCCAATTGCTCCTTTCCTTTAGACCTAGAGATGGATTTCCAGCGCGTTCGTGTCGGTGGTAGCGCTTGCTCCGACTATGGTATTAATTCCGCTGCGCAGTCCAACAATAATTCTCTTCCCATGACTGTCGACCCCAGCACTTTTGGGACTTTGCCCCTTAGCCCCCGCAGTCCTTCTGCGACTGCGCCTGCCGTAGACAATTCCTATAAGCGCACAAGCTTCTCAGACTACGGTGGCGCAACTCGCATTCCTGCGGTCCCAAAGTCCTCGACCGCAGAGTATTTCCTCAGCTATATTTCTAGCACTGACTCCGCCGTCGCGCCATCTAACATGTCGCAATTATCCGCATCCTCCTCCCCCCCGCCTCTTGCAAGGTCACTCAGGGGCGTTGACGATCAATCCAAAGACGATCCTCGTAAGAGATATCAATGTCCTTCGTGCCCCCGAGGTTGGTACCATATGTGCTGCCCTGGCTTATCGCTGATCGCTTTTGTCCTCTAGCATTTGCACGGGCTTACAACTTGAAGACGCACATGGCAACCCATGACCCAAATCGTCTCAAACCCCATGTGTGCCCTCACCGCTCGTGCGGGCGGTCTTTTAGCCGCAAACATGATCTTGGCCGTCACTTGGTCAGCATCCATCGTGACGAGTCCGTGGCTTCCACGCCATCTGCAGCAGTGAAGTCTATAGGTGTCGACAATGGTCACAGGAGTTGGTGTGATAACTGTGGTAAAGGAACAGTCGGTGCCTCGTCCCAGTGCTTGTGCGCCGACATAAAATAGTTGCAGAATCCGTTGTCCTGTTTAACACTATGCGTGCGTATTGTTTTGGATTGTGTTTCCCTGTATTGACCTGCGCTGTTCACAGCATGGGCGAGTATTTTTCGCCACTCGCTTCGTCGTAGTCGATGGTCGATTCGTCCACTGCGCGCTTCTGAAGACGTATCATTCCGCTATCTACGCTATTTCCGTTCTCGATGTGTTGCGTATCGTACCGTTCAGCCATAGTTGCTGAGCCCAGTGATGAACGTGATCTCGGGCTGCCTCATTTATGCCTACCTTTGTCCACGACGGGCTGGTAATATTCTATCTCATTCGGATACTTTATTTGTGTTAACTCCTATACGACAATTGTTCCTTCTGTAACGTAAACAAACTTATATCTTAGATGGCGCGTTGGCGTTGTCCTGCCACCTTCATTATTTATGCACCCATTGCGGCGGAAATACCACTATTTATGATGCATCTGTGAGCGTGTCAGAATTACTCGCCCATAATCTCATAATTGAATCCTCCTCTTCGACAATTTGTTCTGGATAGTACCGAGGCTCCTTGTCAAAACATTCATCGGAATCCTCCACTCCAGGGCATGAATGTGAATTGCTACTACATATTTTGGCCACCGACGCTAGTGCAACTCGATGGCCCACGGACAAACTACCATTAAGTGAGAGTCATGCAACACAAGGCTACTCGAGGGGTGCACATTGTTTTGAAATTCAAATGAACGCGCGGTCACGTGGACCGATCGTCTTTTCGTCACCGGTGATCTCATTGAAGTTCAGTTTGTCCGCGTCGGCGGGAAAGACTCAGGAGTATAAAAGGCGGGATGGACGTCCGCCTCCTCTCTTTCCATAACCCGCCATGTCGTCTATCGGGCAATCAGTCGAAAAAGTTTTCACTACTATGACCTCTAAGAATTCCAAAGTCGTGGACTTGCAGCGAGACATACTGGAACCGCGAACCAGTCAGCCTCTGACAACGGATCATGGTGTCAAGGTGGCTGACACGGACAATTGGTGAGCATGAGTGTATGTATCGAGTAGGCGGTGTTGATCTTTAATTTCTCGTCAGGCTCAAGATCATCGGCTCCGACTCCGAGTCAAAGTCCGAGTCAAAGAAGAACGGCCCTTCGCTCCTTGAGGATCAAATTGGGCGAGAGAAGATACACCGCTTTGACCACGAGCGGATCCCAGAGCGTGTAGTGCATGCCCGCGGTACCGGTGCTCATGGCCATTTCAAAGTATTTGACGATCGCGCTTCGAAATACACATTCGCCCCTGTCCTGACGGATTCCTCGAGGACGACTCCTGTCTTCGTCCGTTTCAGCACTGTTCAGGGTTCGCGTGGCAGCGCTGTGCGTATATGCTTCTTTTTTTGCGCATATAATCGGTTAAAGTCTCCCGTCGCGTGCAGGACACCGTCCGCGATGTCAGAGGGTTTGCGGTCAAGTTCTATACTGAAGAAGGCAACTGGGACATCGTCGGAAATGACATTCCCGTTTTCTTCATTCAGGATGCCATTAAATTCCCTGACTTCGTTCACGCTGTGAAGCCAGAGCCTCACAACGAAGTGCCTCAAGGCCAGAGTGCCCATAACAACTTTTGGGATTTTGTGGGACTGCAACCTGAGTGTTCGTCAAATTGGGCGTTCCCGGATACATGTTGACGCCCTTTTTTGCAGCTGCACATATGGTGATGTGGGTCATGTCTGATCGCGGCGTTCCACGGTCCTTCCGCATGATGCAAGGATTCGGGGTGAACACCTTCACGCTAGTGCCTGCAGAAGGTGAACGCTACTTTGTCAAGTTTCACTTCATCCCGGAGTTGGGGGTCCACAGCCTTCTTTGGGATGAAGCCCTCAAGATCAACGGCCAAGATCCCGATTTTCACCGTAAGGACTTGAGCGAGGCCATCGAAAGCGGTGCATACCCAAAGTGGAAGTTCGCCATTCAGACAATCCTTGAGTCCGACCAGCACACATTCGATTTTGACATCTTGGACGCCACCAAGATCTGGCCGCAGGAATTGGTACCTCTTCAGGAGATTGGCGAATTAGTTCTCGACCGTGTTGTCGACGAATTCTTCCCAGAAACCGAGCAGGTCGCATTTTGCACCAGCCACGTCGTTCCAGGAATAGGATTTAGCGACGATCCTCTTCTGCAAGGTCGAAACTTCTCGTACTTTGATACCCAGATCTCTCGTTTGGGTGTCAACTGGGAGGAGGTGAATTTTATTCGTTTAGTCTGTTGCTGAAACTATTACTCATTGCTACGACCGCAGCTTCCAATTAATAGACCTGTATGTCCTGTATTCAACCACAATCGTGACGGGAAGAGCAGGCATCGTATCGTTAAGAGCGAAGTCAACTATTGGCCCAACCGCAAGGATATTGGACGCCCAGTTCCTGAGGAGAAAGGTGGATACGTCGAGTGGGTTTATTTCACGTCTTTTCGCCTTCTCAGTCTGACAGGGTCATAGATATGCAGAGCGTCTTGAGGGTATCAAACAGAGGGCGCGCGGGCCGAAGTTTCAGGAACACTTTAATCATGCTCAACTTTTCTATAATTCGCTCGCCGCGTATGAAAAGGCCCACCTCGTCAGCGCTATCGGCTTCGAACTTAGTCATTGCGAGGACCCGGACGTTTACAGGTCCTATATCAACGTTCTGAACAACATTGATTTCGACCTGGCAAAGGCAGTCGCCGTTCAGGTCAATGGCGATGTGCCGAACAAGCCTGGTCGTGTTAATAATGGGCAAAAGAGCGAGGGTCTTTCGCAGCTTGACTTCTTGCCCAAGGAGCCTACCATCGTCTCAAGGCGCATTGCCATCCTGATCTCGGACGGTTTCAACGCTGTTGAGATGCAAGCTGTGAGGGCTGCTCTCACGAGTGCAAAGGCTGTTTGCTATCTTATTGGTCCTCGTCGTAACCACATTCGTCCAATGGCCGGTCAGGACCTCGGTCCAGAAGTATTCGCCGATCACCACTTTGACAGCCAGCGTTCAACACTGTTTGATGCCATCTATATCCCTTCCGGCGAAGAGCATGTGAAAAGCCTTGCAAAGAATGGTCGCGTGGTTCACTGGGTAAGGGAGGCATTTGGTCACTGCAAGGCTATCGCTGCCGTTGGTGAAGGTGTGTCCATTAGAAGCTGACAAATTATTACATCGCCGTTAACGCCTGAGATGTTTCAGGTGTTGATTTCCTCCGCGAGGTTGTTAGACTGCCTGCCAGTGTTGATTTATTCACCCCTTCGCGCGTCCAAGGCACCGATGAAGTTGTCACATCTTACGGCGTCGTGACTACAGGGAAGTACAGCGCCTCCTCTGCTGTCACAGATGTGCTCAATATCGCTGCGGACACGAGAGGTTTCGCTTCCAACTTCGCGTTCCAAATTAGCCAGCACAGGTGTTATGAGCGAGAATTGGAGGGGCTGACTCAGCAGGTTGCGTTCTAGTCTTATCGCATACGTAATGACAGCTGTCAATGCAACGTGTATTATCTCCGCAGGAATCTCGTGCCGCTCTCAAGGAAGCTAATATTGGATAACAGAATAAACACCGTAATCTGATATACGCACAACGATGCCCGAGGATAATTGCTATTCGTCAAGTTTGTCCTAATCCAAGAATCACAATAGCATAAACGTTGGCAGCCAATATCACCACCCAGATGATCCATGAAAGCCATGTAACGATATATCCGTTGCTGAAGTCGACAACGCTGTATTCCTGTGTCTCCTGTGTTTCGTATGCCTGTATTGACGAATGTTTCATTGAATCATCACGACTTTCCATGTTTCGCTCAACAACTGTAATGCTAGTGCCCACAGGTAAGGGCGGCCGGTGGGTAGACAGTGTGTCAGAAACAGGGAATACTGCGTGCGTGGAAGTTATCGGCGGGGTCTTGACAAGTTTTTCTTGGATCACTTTCGGCGTTCTGACAGACATCACCGTTTTTGACGACGTGAGGTAGATGAGGGGGAATGCGACGAAGGGGAGGACAACTGACAGGGCGACTTGTGATGCAATGAGGAGAGCGTTAAGTCCTGCCCCCCCAGATGAAATAGCCACGATCATAGAGGGTATTAGACTGATCAGGCGTGTGAGAAGACGGCGGATAAATGGCTGTGAAGAACGGGCGTTAAGGCGAAGATGAAGCTATCGAAATGAATTGTGCATACAGAGATGTTCCACGATATAAATCCTTCGGAGACAATTTGTCCTGCAAGCGTCGCCGTAATGCTGGCAGTTTGGCCCGAGCAGACCAGGGCGAGTGCAAAGATTACTGCTGCGGCTATTTAATAGTGAGTCCAGTATTGTCGTAATATGAGCATCTCCGCTTACCTGACCCAAGCGTTTGTTGCATCAAGGTATGCATGTTTTCCAGTCCGATTGAGGCGTTGTAGTCGGACGAGTAGAACATGGCAGCGGCCAAAACCAATATCCTGAATTTTCTACGTCAGGTAACGAAAGCATAAGTGAAGGAGGACGTACGCTGAGTTGATTGGCACCGCAAGTCCCATTAGACTGAATACGAGATCGACGGTTCCGTGGCTAATATGAGCGCGAATAAATTCTAATGAGTTGTTCTGACGAAACCCATGTCGAGAGGTATAGTCTTTCCCGGTGTCACGTTCCGATCGTGAAAAATATATGATACTCCTCCAAAACTGTTTAAATCTTTGGGAAAATGACAGCCGCCTTGCGTCTGCAGGTGTCGGAAGTGGCTTGGGTGGGTCTGAAACACGATCCTGGGTTGCAAGATTCGAACCCAGAAATAGCGCATGGGGCATGACCGTGGCACCGATAATTCCAATGGCTTGATTATTTTGTTCGTCATCTGGACTACTGTCAAATATGGGACATACCTGCATAGACTGCGTTGGGCTGAGACTGAAAAAGACCCGAAGATGGCACGAAGCCCAAAAACACCTGTGGCCAGTCTGGGTGGACGTTGACTAGTAGCAAGATGAAACATATGAAGACCATCGCAACCTTAAATTCGGATCAGTAACTGATTGATTTGAGATTAGTATCAGCACAAACCAATAATATGATTACCAGCTCAAAAAATCGCACTGGACGTCCTGTTCGCGAGGGGTCGCCTACGATGAGGAAGATAAAAACATCGACACCAGTAATGAGCACGGCGGACCACAGGGGTACTTGTGGAAAAAGCAGGCAGATACCGATGGCCGAACCAAGTAATTCTGCAAGGTCCGTGCTGATGATGGCTATTTCGCATAGTATATAGAGAGGATAGAGCACAAGTCGCCGGACCAACCGTGGGTGCTTTGGATGGTCATTGAGAAGGAGTCTACAATGATGAGCCAGATCTAGAAACATTGTATAAGAAGACGCAACAGCGAGATGGAAAATATCTCACCTAGACCAGTTACACAGCCGAGTCTAGCTGCCAACACCTGTGGTGTGGTGGCATCAGAGGTTGCACAGATAGCATTAGATATATATCATCGACGTGCCTGCAAAATGATTGCAATGATTCCAGCGACCAAAATAACGAATAGCATGGGTCGATACCCAAAGCTGACGCCTGCTTGGATATCGACACTCCAATTACCGCTTGATGGAAATCAGATATACGACGTATGCATCACAAGTAATGATATGGCGTACGGATCGAAATAGCCGACTGCGCATATGATACCGACGCCCACGTGTCTTTTGAAGTGGTGCAGCACGGCGTTCAATGCAGAACTGACAGACATCTTATTTCGCAACCCCTGTTGCGAAGTCTGCGCAAAGGAATCATCGTGTAATGATGGTGATGAGGTGTTTGAATGCATCCTAGAGCTTCTTGGGGGAGATAACTGGGAGAAGACGGCTAGTACTTATACTATAACCTTGGCACGATTTAAAAGACCACTGATAAATCAGTCTTCTAGTGTGGTCAGTTTTCGGCTCGGCTTGTTTATCAAACATATCAGATTCGATACAATCTTGCACACTTCACAGACGCTATGAATAAACGCTTTCAAGGAAAGTCTAGATTATTTCTTGATCCTAATTTAGTACTCGGAACATGGAGTGGGGTCCTGTTGATGAAGAAGACTTATCGGATAACGGGAACCGATGCGGGGATGCGAGCAGGATTTTAGGGTGTACCTCGGCGTCTCCCAGGCGCCTTGGAGTCAAGGAGTCCCACACTGTCAGACCGCGTGCATAGAGCATTTCCTCTGGAGAAGTACCTTATGACCCCAGTTTCGGATCCCGTTTTTTTTGGAAGTCTCAAAAGTCCGGCTGGGTGTCCATCCAGTCTGTGCAATCAGTGAATATGTTGAATCTTGATCATCTCGTAGTGTTATAATGATCAAGCTTGCATGCACACTTTCATGACGTACTTTCATCATAGATGGCAAAATACTGTCAAATGGGTTAGATGATAAGCCACATATATTCTGCAGGTCACATACATTTGCAACACCAACTTGAGTAATACAGACCCAGAGCACAATTAGGATGGGAAAATAGATTGAGAGTGCTAGCAGTCGGTGATTACTTGATACCAGGTTGTTGATTGGAGGGTGGAACAGCGGCGCATCCTTGGGTCCCTCCGAACTTCGTTATGACATCTCTTCTCTGAATTAATGCATTAATGGTAGTTGTCTCGTAACGCGTGTTGGCAGTGCTGGTGGTAACAGAATGTTTACAAGAAAGCGGACATCGCAGTGGTTATGCCCCAGGTTAAAGTTTGTCAAACACACGGTAGCTTGCCAGCAGTACAGGGACTGGGGGTGCTAGGACAGACGGACTAGCCGGACCAGGCCGGGGACCACCAAGACTCTCAATAGTTTCCAGTTTCTTGGGTTCATGCCATTAACATTTCTCACGCTCCTGGGCAAACGTTGGTTAACGGGCCGTGGCGGCCTTAACACCACCACCACCATTACCGCGGGTAATGTTTACCGTTAATTGAACTTGTCAGAACGTAACGCGTCCCTAGACCAGAAAGTTCTCCCTATCTGCACTCAGCTCACAAATCGTGATGGACTTCAACGATCTTCATCCCTCAGACGATTACAGTCACAGGTTTTTCATCTGGCACGAATGGATCCAGGTATTCGATTCGAACGCCACAAAGGTGTCAGGATGCTTACAAGTAAACACATCAGGCGAACGGTCCTCTCACTTCAGATAACGTGTTTGATTATTTTGCCACGTCAATGTTCTATGACAAGCAGAGCAACAATCAAGTTTTGCGCATGCAGACCATGCACACGGGTGTGCCCATATCAAACGAGTCGGAAGAACTTAAGTGAGTTTCATTGACATTCAGAGCTCCCTTTGCATATCTTGCCGTGCAATTTATAGACGTTTCACCGGCATCGAGTTTGCTCTTGTGCATGCTCAGCCACCTTCGCTATTTATTATCCACAAAAGAGAACGATCGTCCCCTGAGGAAGGTACGTTAAAGTTTGCCCCGTAACTCCTAAATTTAAGCATGGCATTAGTTCGCCCTCTTGCTGCTTATTTTATCATGAACAATCGAATCTATCGATCGCCCGATGTCTATGGCGTTCTCTCCAACCGTTTGGTATGTTCCCACAGATTGCCACTCCTACACCATACTCATTTCGGCTTATCTTGTAGCTTACCTCCCTATACGCTCTGCAGTCCTCTTTAGACACACTGCGCATCAATCGACCTGACTACACCCCTCGCACAGGATTTATCTGGCCGATCACGGAGCAGGTTATGTCCGATGATACTACCAAAAAATGGGGTGGAGAGGATTCTGCGACTGCTGCAAGCGAGGCGGAGATCTCCACGTCACAGTCAGAAAGTCAGAAACCCGCTTTAATGGCCAGTGGACCAAAAAAGCAACAGAACAATATGTTGATGTATAACGCAATGAGGTCTACTGCGTTTCATTCAAAAATATCCTTTTCTTCCTCTGCTTCTGTCAGAGATGGAGATAGTGTTCCCCCTGAGTCACTGGGGATACGTTCCTCAGCCACACCTGCACCTACGGCGACCAGAGCGGCGACCCCAGCCAGCGGTCCCGCACCCCAAGACACACTTCCACCGAAGGGTGCGCCTGGTGCGGGTAAAAAGAAGAAAAAGCGTATGTGTTTAATCGAAATCGGTGTTGTTGCTCGCGCACTCATAAGCGAATGTTGTGTGATAAATTAGGTACCTTGTTGGCTGTCGGAGCAAGTTGATGGCCTCCGACCTCTACAAACCAGTCGCAGTCCCTGTGCCACATCTCCATGCAAGCGACTGGCATTTGACGTGAGTATTGACGTCGAATATCATCCCTCTCGGAGCTTTGCGGGCTTCATTACCGCTACGCCTCATATTGCGCCATCATACCATGGATCTTTTAGCAAGAATAGGACAGATTGGGACCTGGAGCTACAATCGGTGTTGTAGTTGAATTAGGAGTTGTGAAAACCTACTATCTTTATTTAACACTGTACAACTAACATCGCCCAACTATACATGAAACTTATTCCTAGCAGCTTATCGAGTGGCGACACCTGCCAGCCTATCAGTCAACCATCCTAGAGATCCGCTTCGCGGACCCCCGGGTCCGCTGCCTAGAGACAAAGGATTTGATGATGCAAATGAGTTCCTTCTGGCCTTCGAAGCTAGCTTCACTGCAAAGTATTCATTAATATCAGAATGCCAGATTAAGCTTGTACATGATCGTTTCGAATGGAAAAATTACAGACCTGAGTTACTGATTTCGTCTCCATTGGTCTCCAAGACAAGACCGCCTTGTATGATTTCTGCAAGAATGTGATGCGCCTGCGCATCCACAATCATCAGTCATCGGAGCGCATTCGTAAAAAGCACATAAAACTTACTTCGTCGAAATGAAACACCAAGTCCAATTCACAGACATTCTCAAAGTGCCTATCGAGCCCTTCCACAAAAACCTGGAATAGTTCGTCACAACGTGGGCACGACTACGGAAGTAACATTCACCTGTATCAAGTCTAGTATGCCCAGTTCACTTTCTGCACCATCGACAACGAAGACAAAGTACAGAGTGGCGTAGTTTCGGTAGACAACGCGCCATCTCTCGTCCGAACCGTCTTTGGGGCCAAGAAACGCCTCGAGCTCCGGTGCATCTAGAAAGTTGCAGAGTCCTGCAGGCCGGATGGATATGAGAGAGAATATTTTCTGTATCAATGTCTGAGAAGACTGATGGAGGGGTGTGTAGAACTTGGTCAGCCTTGGGATCCCGGATGTGTTGACTGCGGCAAAGCAGAATATGTCAGTGCAGAACGACACGACCAGAGATCTCACTAACAGATGAGCACAGCATGGATCATGGTGACTGTTGCGTGATCCTCTTACTCGGAATACAGCAGAAAAGCAGCGGTCCACGTCAACTTCCGGTTCGTAGTATGATCACTAGCACTAGGGGTTGACTATTGCTCTAGTCACTTCAGTTCTAGATAAGATTAGATTGGCAACAAGAACGCTACTGCACAGCTACACAGTACAAAGTAGTGACCCAGTACTTGATTTTTCTCACAAAGTACAAAGAATAGACAGGCGCTCATTTTGCTCTGTCGCCGCTATAGCTATAAGACATCATTGACATTTCCATAGATTTCGCTGTCTCAGTTCCCAACAGCCCGCGTGTGGGTGGCACAATAAATCATGAATCATCTCTTGGAAATGTCCACCCTGGCTGCAAGCGACCTGCAAGATTTCCCACAGGTCCAGAAAGACCCGCTTGACTCTTGAAGCTTTCCAAGAAATTCTTGATAAGGTTGTAGTCCATCGGTACCTCTTCTTCGCCAGAGTCAGGTTCCTCCATATCTCCGCCTCCGTATTCGAGCATGGCTTTGAGCTCAGCCTCCATTTGAGCTTCGACGTCTAGATCCTCCTCACCGTCTTCATCCATGGACTTCGATTTGGAAATGCCTTTGCCGGAGATTTCAGGGTCGTCTGTAGGGAGGGTCGGAACCCTCCCCTTCCCTTTCTTCTTTTTCAGGGTTGTCTGGCGAGACTGGTTCAGTTCGGCATCCATAGCTTGCATGACAGCCTCAAAGGAATCCAGATTCGGATTCACATTCGGCCTCGGGCCAGGGACAGGTTGCCGTCCCTGTGCTGGTGGCGCGGAAGATTCAGATTTATTGGTCGATGATCTTGTTGAGGTAGATGTTGTGTTCTCCACCATGATGCTAGTGGGAACAAAGGCTGTAAAAGTGCTCATTAGCAAGATCTTCGGCAGATCAATTAGTACTTACCTCCTCGTCCTTTCCTATCTTTGATGATGTCTCTCCACTGTTGGTCAGATATACCCAAAGCTTGCCTTGAAAACTCTAGGAACTCTGCTTCTTCCTCGTCCATGTCAACTTCGACATCGCCGACAACCTGCGGGCGGTCCTCCTCTGACTCTACATCTTCTTCATCTCCACCAGCAAGTGGATCAGAGCTAGATGATTCATCATCAGAATCTACACCCTCGTACTTGTCACGCGGCAGAATGGGTGGCCGTATAAACCGAGTGCGAGCTGGCGACGTGATTTCCAAAGCGGGTTCAGTAGCCGAAAATTGTGTGATAGCTGGATCGTTATCCTCGGCTGTTTCAGTCTCGATAGTAACTTTGGAGACACGTTGAGTGTTGAATGAAGCGGGCATTTGTCCATACTCGGCCTCTGAAAGGGCAGGCACAAGCTTCGCCATTGCTTCTTGGCGTACAGCTTCGTCGGCAACTAGCTCATCTTCATCGTCCGAGTCTGAAAATATCTCATCACTGAAATTCTCTTCATCTTCTTCGTCTGCATCATCTCCGCCGTCATCGTCGTCTGAGAAAGCCTCACTAGAAACAGAAGACTTAGTCTCTGGAAGGCTCTGGTGTGTGAAAGCTTACTCTTCAAACCTAGCACCCTCTACATCACCCTCTCCTTCAACAAACTTCTGCACCTTGGCTGCAAGGTCCTGCAGTTTGTTTGCTTGTTCCTTAGCTATCCTTTCCTCTGCCCCATCAGATGTGGAATCAACATCCATCTCTTGAGACTGCGATTGAGAACGTGTCCGCTCCAGCATATCATCAAAGTTGGCTGCGTCGACGTTCATCCAGTCATCCGAGTCTTCAGCCTCATCAGGCATCTCAGTGAGATATTGCGGGGCGATAGACAATGCTGAATTGAACAGCGCTGCGAATGAAGGACGTGTAGCGTCGCTGATAAGACATCAGCTTCAAGGCTAAAAGTGAAATCGAATGACCCACTCCTCCTGCCGAACCTGAATGAACGCATCAGCGGCTTTATTTTCCAGTTCATTCCAAAGCTGCGAGTCTTCGACTTCACCCCGGAAGTAGCCGGTTGAGAGCAAATTTGTGATGTAGGCCTTATAGTCGGATGATCGGCGAAGTGCTTCTTTACGTGCTTCTGCCTGAGGCCACGCGATTAGTATGACAACGGAGGACTAAGTCAGGCGTGCATACCGATGATTTGAGCACCTCACTAGTCTTACTTGCGATGCCAGTACGACTCTTCGACTCTTGGTAGATCATTTCGAAACCGCAAGCCTGTCATAGTATCCTTGTCAATGGACATATTCCAGAATGGCGAATGTCTTAACTTGCCAGCTTCATACCTATGTCTCTCCAACGCCAGACGTCGCTCCCCTCCCGCTCCTTGAAATGGCCAAATATCTTTGGAGGGAAGAATTTTTGTCCAACAAGTTGAGCATACGCTGGTCTTGTCAACTTGACTGTGGTAAGCACGACAGTGTGAGGAGGGAACCGCGTCATGCGATGGGCAGCCTGCAGAATTCTCATCAGCACGATGTCGCGGAGAGTCAAATACACTGACTCGTAGTTGGACGGCATCACGCGTGTAGAATGTCTCGACGGGCTTTTGTACCAACGAAGGGTCTACGGATAAAGTGCGAGCAATGTCAAGCGGAAGGTACGCTTTGGTGGTATGCACATGGCTTTTGGCTGCTGCAGGATAACTTTTCCGAAGATCATGAATAGTTCGTCACATAACCAAAAGATTTTCCTACCCAGAAATACGCTGCCATACCGTATTCTCAACTGTACGAGGTGCACGCGTTTCGACAGTTGAATCGCGGACCAGCTTCAGTGCGTCATCGATGGCCAAATATTCTTCAAGGTCATCACCAACAATGTCACCTTCGTCATCACTGTCTTTAGACCCAGGGAATCTGCGTCTTCGTCGTGGTTTACTTGGAGCAGATACGTGTTGGAGAGGTACCAGGTGCAAAATTCCACTGTATATCCAGACCTATGACGTAAGAGCACCGAGAACAAATTCAGCAAACTGTCTTACCATCTGAAGTACGGGAAGAGGGCGCACCCTATTCTCGGAGTTGGACGGTTTGACCCATGAAGGCAGGGCTTCGGCTGCCTCGATGAGGAGAAACTCTCCGTCAGAATCCATTACGCTAATACCCACTGTTAGTCCCGAGATAAGTCGCGCCGAGATCAAGATCTGACCTAATAGCAAAATCCCATTTCTTGCTAACCTCCCGTAGGATCCAGACAACGTACCACTCGTCATCGACGGAGTCCCCGACGCGCATACGCCCTTCAAGCATCCACTTGTTATCCGAAGCTGCAGCGGAATCGATGTCTTTCGCGACTTTTACCTCGAAAGGGTCTCTGTGCCAGATAAAATTTGGCAAAAGCTCGGAGACATATGCTTCTACGCATACTGCGAGTGTCGTTGCGGATGATTTTTCTCCTAGTGCTGGAGAGGGATAAAGAGTGTACTGAATTGTGTCCTCTGGGATTGAAGGTGGGCGGTTGAAGATGTCCATCGCCATAGATTATTGAAAAACCCTTGTTAAAGACTGTCGTTTATTTTATGGAATTACTGACTAGGGGAGACTGAAGATCGTTGAGGACTGTGTTTGTCAGCAAAAGTCCCCCCGACTCATTTCCTTTCTTGGGTCACAGGAGAACACCAATGGCGTCGACCACGGCCTTCAAGGACAGAAATCTCATCGCTGTCATAGGAGATGAGGTACGTTTACTTCTGCTAGTTAACATTACTCAAATTTACATCACCAGGACTCGATAACGGGACTGCTTCTTGCAGGCGTCGGCCACATCAACGAGCACCAGAGGAAGAACTTCCTCGTCGTAGATTCTAGTAGGGTTTTGGCGTATTCTATATCATCTCGCACTCATGAATGAGCCCAGAAACACAAATATCGGGGATCGAAGCTGCGTTCCAGGAGTTCACCCAACGGAAGGATATTGCAATTGTCCTCATCAACCAGCATGTGAGATCAAACTTCCCAGATCGCATCTTTGACCTCCATGTGACGCGTACTTTTAGATAGCAGAGAAGATACGACCGACAGTGGACCGCTACCAAGAAGCATTTCCTACGTTGCTCGAGATACCCTCCAAGGATCATCCATACGGTGAGCACAGGACACGCCCAGTCTCCACACACCCTGTACTAACATGACTACGCAGACCCTTCGAAAGATTCGGTATTGAAGCGCGTTCAGAAGCTTTTCGGCGAGTAGAGAGCGTATACCTTGCTACACTACTCGCGTCGCTAGGGTTGAATGTCCATGTGTACCATATAATACAAATGTACATGGCAAGCAGAGTCTACTATGCCTAGAGAATGGATGTTCTTCTCCCCTACCTTCGAATTGAGTATTAGGGTGTAGCAATTCATGCCGAAGTGAACCGCATGATGGGCTCATTCTCCCGGACACCTGGTGCTCGTTCAACGAATACCCTCACTGGATTCCGGGTTTCTGAATCTAAAGTCGGAGCGTTGGTATCAATGGAAGATAATAGGGATTAACGAAGTGGCATACGTGGTATGTCGATCAGGAGGTACCGGAAGACGAAGTAACCGTCGTCGTTCTGTGTTTCACATGAAGATTTACGAAGAATTCTTTTGAGGTTTACGTACCAGGACAAGATCAGCATGAACTTCTCCCTCTGTCCACGGAACGCCTGAGTCTCCTGCACCTTCAGCTACACTTCTCCGTCCCTTCAAACCTGAGAACAGCCCAGCAACGCTCCACACGCCCTTCTCCTGTTTTCTTTCGTTCTCCTGTCTATCATTAGTCGACAGTTGCGGGTGAGGTGCGGGCAATGGAGTGACATCGCCACTCAAGTATCTGAATGCACGTTTTGCAGATCGCCCAATCGACTCAAGTTTCTCCTTCGCAAGGCCTATGGTTTCATCTAGAGTCAGGGAGCTGAGGGACTCAATGTATGAAGGGCCCGTTTCTTCATCAGCTTGCTGAGCTGATTTAGCGGAGGACGACCCTTGTACGTAGAAATTGAGGAGCATGTGTTCTCGCCCTGAAGAATCTACCGCGACCTGAGATGAAACATGCCTATGCCTGTGCCTCGGTCGTGTGGAGGAGGGCGGGTTATTGTGGAATATAAGAGGTGCTCGTAGGTATTTTGCAACCTGTACATATCAAAATCAAATATTGATTTAAACTCAAACTCGTAGGACATACCCGAGGAGATGCATTAATGCGGTCGCAGGCATCATTAAAAAGGACGGTAGGCGAGTTCTTTGAGAACAACTCCGATGTAAGGGCATATATGAGCACGGCAGAAAGCCCGGCACCCAAAAGAATAACGGCAAGGTTCGAAGTACGCTGTGTTGTTCGAATCACTGTGTAAATAAACAGGATCAATCACAGTCCATCATGATGGATCCGTAAGAAAATGTGAGAATTCATGCGCACCCTTCCCACCGGTGCTCAGCTCGGACCACTGTTTTACTTTCTTTCCCTTGAGAGATCCTTGAGATATTCCAAGCGCAAACGGCCCTACTGAGTCCTCTCGATTCGGACGCGTCCCGCGCTGTTTCTGATCAAGCGCAGAAGAAAGTAACGAAGATGCAGCGTCTTGGTGAGTCACAAATGACCTGCGACATAATCCAAATGCATAGATTTGGTGACGGTGACGATGCGAAAATAAGATGTCGGTCGATGGCCGCGAACGAGTGCAAAGCGTATTGACTTGACGTGCAAGCCTCGCCATGGAGGTCATGGTAAGGTTAACGTTCTGGACTGCATCCGAAAGCGCATTACCCAAAAATAGCCGGCGATCGGTCACCGCCTAATTTTGACCGAGGGCTGACAGTAACATGGACAAGCTAACTCCTCGAATTGTCGTGGACGTCCGACACGCATGTGCATGCTGATACCTGTCTGCACCACCCGTATGTTTCTCACAGGCGTCTGGCATTGAAAGAAATAATCTTGGGCAGAAGAAAGAAGGTATCATTCATACAGAAGCTCAGAACCCGATTCAATACAAGACAAATACAACGCTCTAAAATTATTATTCAGTCACTAACTTATGATCGCTCTCCACGTAGGCGTCTAGCAAGCGCGAGGTCTTTAGGCTGAATGGTGACACGTTTGGCGTGAATAGCTGCAAGATTCGTATCTTCAAACAACGAGACAAGGTAAGCTTCGGCGGCTTCCTGGAGTGCCATAACAGCAGAGGATTGGAAGCGGAGATCGGTCTGGATGGCTCGGTTACCATACGAATGATATAGATTCAGGAAGACGGTGCTAACCTTGAAATCCTGTGCGATCTCACGCACAAGACGTTGGAATGGGAGCTTGCGGATGAGGAGCTCCGTAGACTTCTGATAACGACGAATTTCGCGGAGCGCAACGGTACCGGGGCGGAAGCGATGAGGCTTCTTGACACCTCCAGCGGGGACCTGTCAAAGGATCGAATTGGTGAGTCAGGCGTAGTGGAAAGCGTGGAAGGGTCGACTGACAGCGGCGGTCTTGCGAGCTGCCTTGGATGCCAATTGTTTACGGGGGGCTTTACCTGTTCAACACAGTTAAGATGAAGTTTGGAGGATGGATACGATAAATTGTTCTTACCTCCAGTTGACTTGCGGGCGGTCTGCTTGGTACGGGCCATTGAAAAATTTGGAGGTTGAAACTTGAGGTAAGTTGATAGTGAAGATGTCTGATGGATGTTGTCCGCAAGCCACAAACTAAACGCGATCCCTTCTTATATATCTGTCCATTTCGGCACGTGCACCTGCCAGTGGATCAATCAACAATGATGATGAGGGTTATATTTAGCCACAAGCGCGTCGCGCTTACCCACGTGATTTCTGTGGACACTCAAGTTGCGTAGATGACCAAATAGAAACTCATTCATTCATTCATTTATTAACATTTGGCGTAGGACCAGAATAACAGGCAGATATTCGAATGTCAATTACCGACTACGAAGATCGCGTTATAAAAAACGTTACGAACAATAACAATCACATCTTTTACTCTGATCAGAAGATACAATAATATTCATGGCGTCCAGACTCCAGCGTGATATTGGATACCACCGCTGATCAGTAGTAACTGTAGTGTTGCAACGCATTCCTAAGCAATGAAATGCAAGATGAGTCTTTCTCCTTTCAAAGAAATCACGAACATGCTCAACCCCTTCCTTCATGATATTTCATGCCCCATCTACCCTTGCACTCAGGCTACTCTTGCAGTAAATCCATGTTCGCTGCTTCTTTTTCTTGTTTAGTGAGCCATCATCAGGCTCATTTGCGAAGCGCTTTCTAGCTCGGCTGACTTCTGCTACGCTCGAGGTGACGAACTTGTCGGTAAAGTTTCGGGCTTGTCACAGCAGTCTCCATCATTGCACTGCAGCACTATTCGCGAGGGCAATCAACGAGCAGCTCCTGGTGTTGTCTAAAATAAGGCGTTTACCAGTGGCGTACTCGTGTTGGGATTACTCTCATGTGGTATTTTTTGTGAGGGTTAGCCGGAATTTGTCCCTGCAGATTCAGATTTGTTCGTACCATTAGGAGAAGCTTGCCCATCTGATGAGCTCGCGGTAAATAAGAATAAGAATAAGCCGTACTTCGCTGCCTATAACAACTATTTGTTCATACATTCTAATAACACAATTTTTAGTGCCAAATGTCAGCCAGCAGGCCCAGCAGAAAGTTGTTCAAGTTAGGTTTGAGCCCGTTGCTCACTAAAAGCTCACACCTGAGGTGCCTTCCACGACTCATCTATGGGAACGTTGGAACAATGGGATCAAGCATAATAGTGGATCGTGGGCTGCCAAATAATGCAGCTGGTACATCGTATCATGTATGTGCGCGGCTCGACACGTTCAGCAAAAATTTACACCCCATTTTGACCGTTCGATGTATCATACGGGTCATTGCAGTTGAGAAACACTCCTATGCCATTCAACCCGAATGTTGGATCTGAGACTGAGGTCAAGCACTAGCGTCTTAGCTTAGTCAGCAGCCTCGCGATTCAACAGAGGTAAACACCTGGCATCGGTTATGTATCATGTGACGAAAGTTCCGAAACATCCGTTATCCATCACATCCGAGAATGCCGCCACGCCTATATCATGGCGGGCTCCTCCACTTTTGCCGTTCATACACTCGTGAAAAAGTATTATCCAAATCCAAATCACCATCTAAATCACTATGCATTCCACTGCAAGCCTCTGCTCGTCAAGGTACGGTCATCGTTGGGGATTTGCAAATTGGTATGTTCAACTTTTAGAACATATACGAGTTATTTGTTCATGGCTACCGCAGCAATTTCAACTGTAACTTAACGTCCCTCGACATCTTCGGAAACCAAAAATTGGATTTCCTGCAGAACGATCGTGAACTGCACGGAGGGAATGAAGGCAGAAGAGTGCTCTCCAACCTTTCTTGGCTGCCTCATTGTCCTGTTCCTGATTCGATAGATCTTGTGGCCCCTTCTACCCACGATGATCCTGAAAAGACTGCCCAACATCGTGTTCGAGCTTCTCGGATAGATGTGAATGGAATATCGTATGGTATCGCCGACGCCACTGGAAATAATGCTTCCCTGGCTACGCTCATGCCTGATTTCAGAGCTCGCCAAAAGGACAAGGCGCCATCTGCTGTATCTGGGAAAGCGAAGGTTTCTCTGGCACAGACTATTGCTCGCTTGGAAAGGGAGGTGCCACCGCCCACAGGACATGTATGTTTGGTATTCACAGACATACGGAATTCAACCCAACTGTGGGACAAGAATCCCGCCATGTCGACAGCGATACATCTGCACAACAATTTTCTCTTACAACATCTTCTATATTGCGGTGGCTACATGGTCAAGACAGAAGGCGACTCATTTATGTGCGCCTTTCCGACAGCCCTTACCGCGGTATGGTGGTGTGTTACTGCCCAGATTCAACTTCTTCACGTACCCTGGCCTCAAGAAATACTAGATTGTGAAGAAGGCAAAGAGGTCTACGATGAACACGGAGACCTTCTTGCACGTGGCCTTTCCGTCCGTATGGGCATCCACTCTGGAACCCCAGCATGCGAACTAGATCCTATCACTTGCCGCATGGATTATCTTGGGTCTATGGTCAACCGATGCGCCCGTATCAGTGCCAGTGCGTTGGGTGGACAAATTATGTGCAGCGCTGATGCTGTTCGCGAAGTCAATGCGAGTTTGTTCGATTGCGGTCTAGCCTCGAAACCTCAAACAGCTCGGGCTATCGAAGAAATCCGGCAACTGCAGACGGTTTTTCTCCCTGCCAGTGAAATCAAATTGAAGGGACTAGAAATTCCGGAGATGGCTTCCCTTGTCTACCCTGCAGCCCTCCTAGGACGTCAGCGGTTGGTCGAGTCTGGGTTGAATCCGAACACGTTTCCGTCATTATCCAGCCCCGGATCACCAGCAGATTCTTATACCAATGGCACCGCTGCACAAGTTATCTGTGACCAAACTCTATCCGATGATGCGTGTCTGGAGAGATGAGCTTGCGTCTCCCTACCTACTAGACCTGTCCATTTCCATAGCGCTCTGATAATCGTATTTGTGCTCTTTTGTCAGGAATGTATATTGTCAAGCGTTGTGTCTCTGGCCTCCAGCACCCAGCAAACGATTTTATATAAACAAGTGATAAAGATTAAATAAGATGTTCAAAAATGGTAAAGTTAAAACATAGTAAATCACATCCCAAGAAATTTCTTTGAACTATAGACTAAGTGTGACGACTTACATTGCACAGCCGGGCCTTGAGCTTGAATCACTGGCTTTGATGGAAGGTGTCCAAGCACTCGCTTGGCCTCATGGCAGTTGTGTACTTACACGAGGGCCGCTAGTGTTGCGGCAGCTGCAGCTCGGCTTAATAAGCCACAGCTTATCCTATAAATGGCTAGCCGAACCGGTAGAACCACGGATAAGCGCCGGCTCGGTTCCAAAGTGGCTTGCAAGCGGCTATTTACAGGTTCGGCAGGAAGCAGCGTGACTCGAGTACTAGGAAGCTAAATCTGAGTAGTAAAATTACAGAAATAAGCAAACAAATTCTGTCAAGACAGATACGGAGAGTGGAAAGGGAGCTCTTGAGTCTTGAATGCATACAAAAAGATGTTGAAGTCCGAAGCTGAGCTGGAAGAGACACGGAAGTGAGTGACATCGGACCAGGTACGAACGCGCTGAGCATCGTCATTCGGCCGAGTGTCAAATACTTATGTTTCAGACTCATATGTTTTTCTCTCCGATTTTTACTGTATGTTAAAAGGCTTTGTGCAGCCACTCGAGCATCTCAGTCCATTTCCAACGACTGAGATGTACGTACTCAATATTTGACTTATTATATTCCAAAAGCTAACAAGTACTTAGTATCTACTTGTTCTAGGTACATACTCAATCAATGAGTCTGTTTCCAATGACTGAGATTATCTACTTGTTCTAGCTGGTGTTCTCAACGCGTGTTACAAGTAACATCGGCTACATGGCCCCCCTATCATTTTTCCCCTTCGTCCTCGCCCTCGTATGCCTCCGGCTCGTACTTCTCTACCGACTATCCGTTGACCAGATCCTCGGGACCGTTCCCATCCCTCATCCCCCTCCTATCGCACCAACGTGCGCACGTGCCTTCGGGCTATGACTCGTTCTGACTCGTGCCACCAATGTGGCTTTCCTTATCTTGTCTTATCTTTCCTTTGACTTGTGCATGATGCACATTGTATCATTTACCGTTGGTTCGTTCCAACGTTTCTCGGTCTCATTCCACATTCGACCTTACATCACTAATCAGGCTCTGCTACCAGCGTACCTATACCCTTTCCGTTTCCCCTCTGCCCTTACCCACAGTACGGTAGCCTTGCCCTTAACCCTTTCCACTTAGTATAAGTAGTCGGTCACTCTGTACTAGATTCCCTAACTTGAATCTACTCAATCTTCCCTCGAACATACTTCCCTCTGAAGCCCCCTCAGCTTCAGTCTCTAGTATCTTTTCTTAGGTGCTCATCGCGCCTAAGTCTACCTCGATCGACCACCTCATCGTTCGGACAAGACTGTCCTTACTTTGAGAACGTCAGTGACTTTGAAGACATCCGTCTTAGAAGTCACGTGACACGCGCGTCTCTGATATCTGCCGACTCGACGTCGCCAGTCTCAGTCGCTACACCGGACCCTTCCGGTTACGTCACGAACGTTAGTGGACGACGCCCCTCTTAGGGCTCCGCATAACAGATCTATTTGAGTGCGTAACAACGCGTGTCCTCATCCTTGAAAACTAACAAAAGATAAGGACTCTACAGAAGTTGATGAAGGTAGGGATAATCCGGTTTCTCGCTGAACTGAAGACTGCGAGCATAAGTGAGCATGGTGGTGAATCCTGAAGGAAGTCTAGAACAGAGTGTCTTGGGAGAGGTCTGGATTTTTGACTGCAAAATACGACTTGAACTGTTGCAGGGGTATGCATCTTCTGAATCGAGTGGAGCCCAAGGGAGATCACATATCAAATACACAAGAACATAAGCGAGTGACTTGATATCATCGTGCTGACTCTGCTCCACACCTCGATGAGCATTGATGGACGTGAATTGTAGATTTGCAACAAAGTGTTGGTCATTTTTGAATTGTATGTGACAATGATTTGAGTCACGGAACAGTTGCACAATGCTGAAGTTGATGATATTGTTAAGACCATGCATGTTACAAGTAACATTGGCTACATGGCCCCCCTATCATTTTTCCCCTTCGTCCTCGCCCTCGTATGCCTCCGGCTCGTACTTCTCTACCGACTATCCGTTGACCGGATCCTCGGGACCGTTCCCATCCCTCATCCCCCTCCTATCGCACCAACGTGCGCACGTGCCTTCGGGCTATGACTCGTTCTGACTCGTGCCACCAATGTGGCTTTCCTTATCTTGTCTTATCTTTCCTCTGACTCATGCGTGCTACGCATTGTATCATTTACTGTTGGCTCATTCCAACGTTTCTTGGTCTCATTCCGCATTCGACCTCACATCACTAATCAGGCTCTGCTACCAGCGTACCTATACCCTTTCCGTTTCCCCTTTGCCCTTACCTACAGTACGGTAGCCTTGCCCTTAACCCTTTCCACTTAGTATAAGTAGTCGGTCATTCTGTACTAGATTCCCTAACTTGAATCTACTCAATCTTCCCTCGAACATACTTCCCTCTGAAGCCCCCTCAGCTTCAGTCTCTAGTATCTTTTCTTAGGTGCTCATCGCGCCTAAGTCTACCTCGATCGACTACTCATCGTTCGGACAAGACTGTCCTTACTTTGAGACGTCAGTGACTTTGAAGACATCCGTCTCAGAAGTCACGTGACACGCGCGCCTCTGATATCTGCCGACTCGTCGTCGCCAGTCTCAGTCGCTACACCGGACCCTTCCGGTTACGTCATGAATGTTAGCGGACGACACCCCTCTTAGGGCTCCACATAACAGATCTATTTGAGTGCGTAACAATGCACAGAGGGTAGGACTGATTCTGAGGGGCTTGGCTTCAGCTCGTGCGCTGTGCCCCTTACCCAAGTATGTGCCCTTAATTTCAGATTGGTGTCTGAAGAAAGTCTGAAGACATCCAAAGGACGTCCAAAGGTGTGGGAAATTTCGGAAGGACTTTCCGGACAGGTGCAAGTAACTTCCAGATGAGTGCAGGAAAGTTCTGGAAATTATAATGAGGTTTCATCCTGATACAGATATGTGTAATGGCTACTCAGGACAAGTCCTGAGTAGAAGCAAACAGAGGAAAGGCTGCAAGGACAAAGTCTGAAGCAGAATAGGTCCATAGGACTGTGGGAAAGATCCAGATGAACTTCTGGAAACTATGGAGGATCGGATGAGCGGATGAGCAGAGTATTGGATAAGTAGAGCTCCAGCCTAGGGAGAAACTCCCTAGGCCTGAGATGGATAACAACTAAGTTGGAAGACTAGAACTGATATGAGGACTTAGAGTGAGATCTAGTGCGAGGACTAATATGATATTCAGACTGAGGAATTACAGGACATATACAAGAGTTTATATACTAAGTGACTATCGGAAAGATCAATAAGCAAAGGTCCGAGGCTATGTATGAAGCATAAGCAAAGTTATCAAATGTGAGTCGGAAATGAAGCATAGGTTAATGGATCAGTAATCATACCGGTAGTAAGTATAACCAAGGTACTGGGAACAAGGAATACTGGATAGGCTGTGTTAATGTTATATGCACAGGAAATGAATCAAGAAGCTTATTGTATATCGGATAGGAAATGGATTTATACATCAGATCAGATCAGATCGGATATGGTCCGGACAAGATGTGTGGATATATGGGATATGACATTAGGGCAATGGGACAAAGGATGAATGATGCAGGCTAGCTGCAGAGGTATGGAGGTCCGATGCATAGAGATACAGGGGTCCGGAGGTCCGGATGAAGCATGGGAACATTGTCGGACGTAGGTCTGGAATACGGGATATGACAGATATAAAGCTTGATGCTCTCAACCTCATCTATTTCTCTGCTGAGAATGATATTGGAGGGTTTAATATCACAGTGGATGTAATCATGCAAGTGAATATACTCAATGCATGAAATCTATTATATTTTCAAGTTAGCTGTGGATACCAAATACTATAGACCAGCAAAGTTGCCTATGCACCAGCTGCTTTGCAAATGAAATTACTGTCTGTAAGTCCAATATTTTGTTGCAGGCATTGAAATACATCTTGAGTGAGGGACCAAGGTGTTCCATTATCATTGCGTGATGTCCAGAGTCTGATCCAAACCAGTGAATATGTGGAATATTGTTTCCACCAGCAAGAGCCAAGTACGCGGCATACTCCTGCTCTAGTGTTCTTGGTTTCGAATGTTCTAGCTTTGTTATGACCTTCTGGCCAGTAAAAATATCCTTGGCGAGGAACATGCGATCTATAACACTTGAATCAAATTATATTACCCGTACAACAAGCAGGACTCACCATGTGATCCAGACCCGATTTCTGCACCCAGCCTGAACCTCCCATCGATACGAAAAGGCTCTAATCCTGCTCCCTTGGCTACAATGTTGGGCTTTGAGAAGGATAGCAGTGTGTTTGGAGCTTTCATCCCTAATAGTACAGTAGTTGATGAGAAAGAGTGTACACTGAGAGTACACAACATGCAGTAATGATGCATGACACATTCAGTGACTTCAGTTGGCTAATTGTGAGGTCTTTCAGCTTTCAGCGAATGCTGGAGAGAATAGAATCATGCGTTCATCATAGTGTGATCACTGTAGGCTTGTAACAAGGCCAGAATAAATTTCGAACTTCAAGACATGAGTAGGTACTAGGTAGCACTGCAGTAGTACTAGTAGGTACAACATAGATCATCAATAATGGATCCAGCACAGTCCAGTCTGAAATAAATAGTAGATCGTCAGATATAACAAGATACTTAATCAAGACTCATCCTTGGGGTCGCTGCCTTCAGATGACTCAATGACATTCTGATTGAGAGCATCGTCTTCATCATCCTTCACCAATAGATGGAAAAGACTGTCCAACTTCTTGACACTATCTTTTCCCTGTGCTTCCATGAGTACAGAGAGCAAGTCCATGTCAGTGTCAGCTTCCTTGAATGCTCACTCATCAAGTACTAATCCCTCTGTAAAATTAAGGCGAGACTTCTTGTAGAAAAACTTCAGCATTTGAAGAGCCTCCATAAGTGCAGGGTTGATGCAGTTGTGCTTGTTTGTGTCGGTCTCTCCACTGGAAGAGAATATGCATTCAGATGGAACCACAGAAGCCTGTATAGGAAGGTAATCCATGGCAATCGAGAAAAGAATTGGAAATGTGAACTCGTTCATCTATAAAAGATATGTATAAATTAATACCATAAGATAAATAGCCCTCTAAGTGACAACATACCAGCCAAAATTGCAATATATCAGTGCCGATTGGTGATGTCGTTCTGTTGAAATATATGTTGAATTCCTGATCGACGGTTTTGTCCCCTCCACTGTGAAGATTACATACAAGCATGTCATCCTCAAGTCCATATTCTTCCCCGATGGTCTCAAACAATGACAAAGGCTTGCGGGCCCTTGCAATGACCTTGACAGGTGACTTTGGATGATATTCCTGTCCCCTGGAGCAGGGCGTGCTATCATGCATCTACAGGGCATTAGAAACAACACCAGGTCAGATGTGCTCAGAATACCTTTGATTTGATCACTTGTATTGCTTTGTCAGATCCCTCATGCGACCAATGTTTCTTGATCCAACTCATGCAATATGCCGGGTTGAGAACTAATGAAATGCATTAATTATAAGAGTAAGGAAGACAAAGTAAAATCACATACCCATTGCTATGATGTACGTGTCTGATTGCATACAATCATAATACTTCTGAGCCCATTGTAACCTGATGTCCAAGAATGGCTTCAGATGGGGTTGGCTATTCTGAAGAGACTTCCACTTCGCAATGAATTGTTCGAAGATGATGATAGTGCCACATAAGACTGACAATCGTTCTGATGACATGGACTGAAGTGCAATATGAGGAACCTGGATGTAAAATAGTATTGCGCATCACTATTAACCATTCAGTTCATTCAATAGAGCTTACCATCAGCATAACTTCACAATCATGAAGTACAAGCCACTCTGTTGTCAAGGGTTTGTGCCTTCATAACTCCTTGTTATTAGGATGTTCAAGAAAGTAATCAATAGGCTAATGATGGGTTGAGTTGATGATAAACAAAAACATTCCAACATGTCACCTGCTGTAGATATCAGAGGCATTGTACCATAAAGTAAACGGAGTCCCAACATGTTCTCAAATCCTGAAGCAACTGCAGAACAGAAAGTTCGTATGACTCTGTCCATCCCTCCTTTGTCGTATATGTCCACCATGACTGCTCATTGCCTTCCACAATGATAGCCTCGAAGGCATCTCTGCGCATACCAGATGCACAAAGCACTTGGACAATATTGCGACCAAGTGTGATAGGATCACGTTTGAGGGCTTCCTCATAAGTGTGTGACTCGGAAAGGTTCTGGGGAAGCATAGTGATCCAATCATCATCTTCAGGCAGATCCAAGTTTGTAAGACTCTTGACGACATGGCCAACACAGAGGTTAAGGATGTGAGGAAAACAACGAATTCTGTGGGAGAGAGCATCAAAAGAGACATCACGTTCTTCTAGCAAGACCTCAAGATGGGTCATCATAGTATCATTGTTATTGGTGTTATATATGGTGAAGTGCCCAATCTGAGAGGAAGTCAGCAGGAACGTATAATACATCAAGGATGCATACCCTGGCTGTGATTTTGGCCCTATCAAGCAAGCGGACAATAATATTAGCCAATTTTGACACCCCTGCACACGATGGAAAGTGATCAAAGCAGCTTTCAGAACAAGGTGGGACACCTCGTGTATGATCCAATGTGCAGTCAAACACAGGTATGGGCGTCAACGTTTCATCAGACACTTTTTTGAGCCACTGTAAGTTCTCTCATCTTTGTTCACTTGGGGATGTCACATTCTTTCAAGTCCTTGTGCAACAAGAGTAGGAGTTGTCAAAATTCGGCGCACTCGACGACATTAATAGACTACATTGGATGCAATCAACATAATGAAATATTACAAAATGTAGACACTTACTTGATCATCTGCAACTATAAAACAAATGAGATGAGCATGGAATTCTTGATGATTGAAATCATTGATGGATGGGTCCAACTGAGAGGATTCTGTTGTTTGGGCATTGGTACCACTGGTAGTTCCAGCCTGGGTCCTTGTGCACGTATGTAATTTGGTTCTCAAGCTGATGCTTGGCGCAAAACCGAAGGTATGCTTTTGAGTGGAGAGCATCAAGGTGGCCTCTGAGAATGCTGGTCAATGTCCTCGGGCCATAACTGTAGCTCTTCTCAGGTATCTTATTTTTCTTCCTGCAGGATAGTGTCAATTTCATTATTGGAAAGGCAAAGAATAATTACATGCACAACCTACACGTCTGCTTTTCAGAAGTATGTTTGAAAAAATGATTGATATCAGGTGCGCCTCTAGACTTTCTTGGAAGCTGTCCTCCCCCAGATGGCTCTGTAACCTCTGATTCTTCAAGGTCTGACTCATCAGAGCCATCAAAGGATTCAGAGCTCGAAGGAATATTGTTGTCCTCAGCATCATCATTGGTCGATGGTTGAAAGTCTGATTTGCTTAAGGTCTCTGGTGGTGCTAGAGAAAGTGAATCTTGTTTGACTTGGCAAGTTCACTTCCTCACAACAAGATGCACACACACCAGCTGTGGTGTAGCAGGTGCTGGTGCATGTGTGGTTAGAGGTTTTGGGTCGTTCAGCTTGGCTGGTATAATGACGGTACCAAGGACAGGCTTGAGGACAGGCTCAAGGTTCTTTATGATGGGTTCAATAGCATGTACAGGTGTGGCTGTGTCGAGGAGGCAAGCCTGTTGAGGATCTTTGCAGGGATTACGAGAGGAGCACCAACAACAGACCCATCTGCAGCAATCTTCGGCCGAGGAACTCTACAGCTGCACCCTAGTTCTGCATTGTCATCAGTTAGGCTTGGTGCAAGTTCCTCAGATGCAGGGGGTGGTCATTTGAGCTTTCTCGACATTGTATTAGTCAATGAAGTTGAAGTTTGAGTTGATGTGAACTCACCCTCACATTTAAATGTTAGCCACTAGTCAGGGAGTCAGGGTTCCAGGGGCCAGGGCTTGACAAAGTTGGTTCTGGGTGGCCTCGAGGACAGACTGCTGTGAAATATAAGTATAAGCGTAGTAAGATAGAAAAAGATGTTGTGAGATATCATTAACAAGGTCAATTGTGATCGAATCATCAGGTATTGCATATCAAGACTAAGCAGACTGTAAGCGGATGCCTTCCATGAGTAATAACACATAAGATTCCATGGAACAACCTTGGGAAAGTAATACATGAGACAACAATAAAGACGAGAGCAACGGATACACAGCACAGCGAAAAAACATAAGCAATCCTAGCAAGAATGAATCTTAGGCACAGTTGCAACTCGCAACTTGCAGGAGATTGACAAGTCATTCATCTTTGGAATCATCGTCATTCCACTTCCTCTTGCTGACAGGACATACTGTAAGTCAGACCGAAGCCACCAATTAGTCTTCGACATGTAAAATTCCTTGAGTTCCTTGTGGTCCTCCACAAGGATGCGCTGTGGATCAGGAGAATCAGCATCAAGCCACCCTTCCTCCCAATCAAGGTGAGTATTGAAGACATTAATGATGTCCTCATGCGATTTCATGACCTCAAGGCCATCTAGCTTTATCACAACCAAGTTGTCCTGCAATGCCATCTCGACTATCGGGTCATGCAGACGAAGCTTCGCAAGTCTGACATTTTCCTCTGCTTCTTTCGTTGAGGGGATGTATCTTGCTGAGAATGTCTTCTGCAATTGCTGCACAAGGGCTTCAAGAGCTGGGTGACCCTTGAAAAGAGGGGTTGTTGATGTAATAGAAGACTTCGATTGCAAGAAGTTTGCCTTCCCGGAACCCCCCAAACCCTGAACTTGCTCAGGGTCCAGGGTTGTGTGCAAGAAGTGCAATCACTGAGCATCACTGATACAAGATACTGTGAAGATGAACATGATCCATAAGATCACATATAGCATTGACTCCATGTTGTCCTGGAAGTCATGAGATGTGTTCATGTTGGCAACAAGGCAAGCAGACATGAACTGCCATGTCCCCTATCAATTGTCATTAGGGTTCGTGAGTCATGACCATCACCGAAGTGAAATGTACATACAGTTCTAGTAATTTGTTTTGGCCCCGAGTCCCGAGTCAATTTAGCAAGATCCCAGTCTATGAGAATACCTTCGTTCTCATGCACCATGATATTACCTACACTGAGGTCACAATGTAAGATGTTGCAATCCTCATATGCATCCTGATGAGCTAGAGATAATATTAAATGAGATGGCCATCGCCCGAGAATGGAGAGAATCACATACTTATTAAAGCATCTCACAATACTTCAAAGACTTGGTGAGAACTGACAAATGATGTGATTGGGGTAGTGACAATATTAAGAACGAGGCGATAGTGAACATGAGCTATAAGAATAGCTCCTGTAGGACGGGCCCATGACACATCCTTAAAGCAACCAGTTTGGGTGGTATGTGCATTCGAGCCACCCAAAACATCACCAGAGGCTAGGCACGTTGCAATGTGTCGAACGTGCTTCTCATTCAGATGCTTGTATACATCCCCTTCTGGAATGATGTCCGGCAAAAGGACACACCATGTGTCCTTCAAGAACACAACACAATCTCCCTTGGTATCATATGCAGAGAATCCACATGTATTGCGCCCTGTGGGGGAGAGTCCTGTTGCAACCGGAGCAGGGACTAAGTACGTTAAGTCTGAGCCATCTGCATCTTTCATTGTGATCTGAAAGATTTGGGCATTCAATGGTAAACCGAGCTTCTGCCTGACAGTGGTTATGAGATGCAGGTAACGTGATGTAATGTGGGAAATGGTTTCATCATGGCCGCACATTGCATGAGGTGCAACATTGTAGCATCAGAAGAAATTGATAAGGGCAGGAGACTCTCGATAGAAGATAGGCTCAGTGACAATGAACCCCTTGTGATCCCACCTTATCAGGCAAGCATAGTTCTTGATGATGAGGATTTGGTAAGCGTGAGTGCGCCACTGAGCACCTAGCTGAGCAGAGGCGTATATGGTGATTTGGCCTATCATGTCTCTTGCTTGTTTAGAAGACATAATAAATGAGGAAGCACTGGACAATGTAGAGAATGGGTCATCGCCCCTGTTCCATTTGAACTCTACCATCATCTCAGCTTTTGTCACATCACACCTGTCGGGGGTCTTGATGTTTGACGGGTATATGCAAACATCGGGCTTTATGTCATATTTTATTGATTTGCAGTTGTGTATATCCCCCTTAGAAGAGACATTGATGAAGGATAAGTCAAAGTTGAATGTGCTCATGGCATGCACCTAGTAAAAGAATTAAATTAGTTGATAAGGGATATCAATAATATCATGGGGGGTACATACAAATTTACGGTATGCTGGAACCTCACTAGTGCACTGAATGGTTTGCTCAAAATGTTCTAATGGCTGGTTAGTGAGAGGAGTATATCTGTGATCCAGTAATTGGCTGCTTGGAAAGAATTCATCCAAAAATTGCTGAACGGGCATCTGACCCACTGTGAAGGGTAACACCTCTTTCCCAAGGCCATTGATTGTATTGATATGATAATGCATGTTGGTAGAGAATGGAACCATGGTATATGAGCTGCATTTGATTGGAGTGTTGTAACCACTGTCTTCAATATCAGTATCAGTGATCAGCTGAGGGTCTTCAGGTGCAGGAGTGACTGAAGGCAGACAAGCACCAGACCCAGACTCAGGGGGAGCCAATGGTCCATAGGATTGCAAAGGTTTGTCAGCAATATGAGTAATGACATCAACAACATCCTGTGGGGTGGCACTGGCCATGGTCTAAATGGTTAGCCACTTACACAGCTGCTTCAAAGCTGCAGCTTGCAGCTAGCCAGCTGTGGGAACTGCCATAATGTGAGATCCGAGTCTCAGCTAAAGCCACTGGTCAAGCCATGGAAAAGCTGAGCTGAGCCAGAAGTTGCAGCAACACTAAGGGCCACCGATTTGGGAATTGGGTGGGGATCATGTCATGTGCACTCAGATGCGCTCACTCAGGCTATCACATCAGGGTTATCGATATTTAGGAGATGTTTTTATGTTGTAGTTTTAGGGCAAGTGGAGTCCCCGGGCCCAGCTCTATGCTTGGGGGACTCCATCTGTAAATTCACACATTCCTTAATCTCCTTATTCAGCTTATCTCACTTGTCCCAAAACTCGTTTGCTCTCTCTCACATCATTCACCTGGCATGTTTCATATTTTTTTAGTGTGAAATATAATAAAACATGTATGTTAATATACATCAACATTTTTTTTGTCAATACATTCAAGTTGAAATGTTGGACAAGTAGATCCACCTTTTGCCAAGACACTTAAGTGTAAACAAGTGTAGATAAGTCTGTTTAAGGACAAAATAAGTAATGTGAGAATTTCCTGATGAGTCGGTCACAATTTTATTGCAGATAGCGCTGAATACAAGTACATCGAAAGGATACAAACATTTGGGACCACCGAGTTGCAGAGAAAGAGAAACAGCTAAGTGGGTTTTGAGTTTCTCTTGGGTTTGAGAGAAACAATACAAGCTAAGAAATGCTACTCATAAGTGCACAGGGATGGTGGGAGGGTAGCTTAAAAGTGCAGACGTGCACGAGCAGATGGTACTATGTGAGGGCAAGTCTGAGCGATGACAGAATAATCCAGACTCATCAGCAAGACATATATACCTGTTGAAAGAGGGGCCTTCAGTTGTGTAAGCCGTGAGGCTGAGTCATAAGTTTGGATTTGACCAGTGTTGCTGAATGATTCAACTAGGTCAAACAAGTTAAATCCTGATTAAATGCAAAGAAAATATTTGAAATTTAAACTGACATAAAGATGGAGACATAACTTCAAATTTTGGCAGTGTTTTGGACAAAATACAAAATTTGAAGCAGCAACCATATTTCCACCAACCATATGCCAATGACAATAAGAAATTAAATCAGAATTTCTGCGTGTGCCCAAATTTGAAGTACAATTATAGCCTAAAATGTCAGACAAAACGTGAAGTTTAGGACATGACCATATGCTTGCTTATGTATGAAGTTTTGTCAGACAATTGAGACATCCTAAAAATTTGAAGTTTATGCTGGTGACAAAATGTGATGATGAAACTTCAAGTTTCATCCTGTGACAAAATGGATTGCCTGATCATTGCCTGCCTGTTGCCCATTCATCACTCAGTTGTAGCCTGCAATAAGCACAAATTGGCGATCAGACTGAAAATGGGTATATAAGGTAATGTTTTCATTTTTCGTTATACAAGTATGTAGCAGTGTAAAACAGTACAACTAGGATTCAGGATTCAGTCCAAACTAAATAATCTTGTCAGTATGAATGAGGGAGTTTTGGTTAAATAAGTCTTACCAGGCGCTCTCATCATAAAATCATAACACACCACTAAAACATTTTGCATCATCTTGGTTGTGCCAGGGTTAAATTTGAGGGAGCACTTCCATTACATGGAGGTCATTGGACCATTGGCATCATTGGTCAATGAAAGTCGCTCATGAGAAACTCCTTCTCTGATATTGCCAAGATGGGTTTGGAACCAATCTTCGCAACAAGCAGACCAAAAACTGATGTTCAAGCCCAATGTATTCCAAACATGTGGCCAAGGCCACCAGGATGATACTATTACATCTGTGCCCTGAGCTAGAAAGTGTGAGTATTAGTGGTATGATGGATTGATCTGTGTAAGGCTTACCCTAGTGCATGTAGTATGTCCTGCACATAAAATTGATTTCTTCTTCCAACAACTCATCATCATAGTAAGTCTGGTCATTGCTATACAATAGGAGACCAAATGGAACAGCTTCAGGCGAGATACCATCAAGGACAGATGAGAGATAATTGAAGCCGAGGCTGTGCAAAGCCAACCGCCATATGAGTCCCCCATGCAGAAAAGCAGCCCTTGCTTGGGGCCAGTTCATAAACTCATGATATATCTGCTTGTATATGACATAATCCATGTATATTGCATGGAAGGGGGATTGCCGGTGACCTAAGGTATGGGTACGAAGCTCAAGAGGGGGGTGCTGCAAGTTGGGCATGACAGTCATACACTGCAGGGTCCTAAATGCTATGCCTCTTTGAATGAGAGTAAGCATGATCTCCTTCATATCTGAACCCCAGTTGTGTTGCAGGCACATCACGGTGGTAACAGGGTCTGGAATAGCCAATGTCCAGACAACATGATTTGGGGACTGACAGGGCTCAATTATGAAGAACTGGTGTTGTGATAGCTCAGCATAAGAAACTCGGATATATGCATGCAAGATTTGTAGAGACAGATTGGGTCCTAAATCCCATACATCAGGGCTGCTAGAGTCAAACTCCTTTAAGTTTACCAAAAGCATGATGAAGTTCATAATACTTTGGTGTTGTGGCTCTGCGATTGAACCATTTTCAGCTGTCAAATCACTAACTAGTTTCCGAGTATATTCCCATTACATCTTCCCACTCCATTCTTCAATCTGTTTTGACATGGATCCTAGAGGAGGCAAGATAGCTATCATGGTTCAGTATCCAAAATGGTAATGTAACACAGGGATGAGTCCTTCAATCCTAGTCAAAACCTGCAACAGGCTCAGCCATGCTCAGACAGCCCGCTTAAGAAACCTGGCTGAGTGTGGATATTTGAGCCACTTCCTGGATATCACTGTATGACTTCGGAACAAATTTACTCAAATAGAACAGCCTGGATAGTCCTGTATATATGTGGATGCAGCAAAGCATAACACAAACACTTGCATTGGACAGAATGATGGATGATCACAACACAATGTGCAAACAACGGCGACACACAAACAACAATAACAACAAGAACAACAGCTTGTAGTAACAGTTACAATAAAAACATAAGAAACAAATAGCATGAACCGGAAGGGATCAAGAAAATAACTAGAATAATGTTGGTATTTCATCTAGTGTCCCTGTTACACTGGTCCCTACAATGGGTGAGGCAACAGCACAGGCTTTTGCCTGTAGACAGATGTCAGAGTGACTGTGGAATGCAATCCATACACAAATCTCACTGTCTTAATGAGTGCAACTCTATCTTGATACTTCTTCTTCTTCTTTTTGTCGAGTTTCCTCTAATAGTTCTCAGATAGTGTTGGTGTGACCTGCATTAGACTCCTGTGAGAACCACAAGAATAGTATAGTGGCCTACTGTTAAGAAAACTTACTTTGGAGTCGCTCGGCCATTTGGCTTCTTGGCTGCACTCAGGTCCTTCTTCAAGTTCTTCTTAGTAGCCTTTGTCATGGTGGAGTCCACATCAAGGTGGTGGTGGTGGTGGACCATCATCGTTAAGTAGTAACTCAAGGTGCATTGACTTGAGAGATGTGATAAGTGATTCAGGGAAGTCATAGGATCCTTGGTGGTGGTGGTGGTGGCAGCGGGAGTGTAAATCATGATGCGAATTATGCAGGTGGATTGGGAGATATAGATGAGTTTGATATGGGCTATTGTTGTGCAGTGCACTCATTGTTGTGCAGAGTAAGGGACTTGTTTACTTATGTTTGTAAATGTCCAAGAATTCTTTGATGTCCAAAATGCATTTTCCAAGACACTGGCAACTCATCTGATAATCCAACATTATGTGTGGGAGGTCTTCTTGCTTGACACTGGCATAGACATCTTCTAACAGCACTTCTTTGTTGGAGTCCAGGGGCCTTGACATAACATCAAAAGCAAGTGGAGCAGAGGTTGGTTTGTATACTTTGCAGAGCCACAGGTTGAAGTTGTGGGTAGAACTTCCTAGATAGTACGTGGATCTACTACATCAAACTCATAGCCATTTTCATACAACATTTGACACATGTCCTGGAAAAATGAGCCAAAATGTGTCTACATGTGGATATGCCTGGTTCCCCTCTGGATTTCTGTGACTCAGCATGGCTGAGCCTGTTGTGGGTTTTAACTGGGCTTCAATACTTGCATGTCTCAATGCAAGTGAAACCTCATTGCCAAAGTATTTGTATATGTCTTCTGAGAAACTAGAAGGGGTGGGGGATGGGAGTTCAGAGGGAGCAGTTATAGGGAGCAGAGGCATGATGTTGTCTTCATCTTCCTGATTGTCACTATTAAGGATGCTAGTTGGATTAAGGGTATGGCATAAGTCCCACTAGTTGGAGAAGGAATCAAAGATCCTAGTATCTTTATTGTAGTCTCTCCAGATTCCCTCTATGCAAGCCTTCATGACAGGGTAGTGCAATAAGAATCCATCCTCATCATCATCATCATCATCATCATCATCATCAGCTTGCCATTCAAACACCTGAATTGTACTGGACCTCCCAGGTATGTGATGATTCATCGCTGAACATTCATGTCCAAGATGTGCTTACTATTGAGAGGGTGTTTCCTTCATCTCCTTCTCCTTGTTCTACATGAGCTGGCGGGCAAAGAACACCTTGAAATCTTCACCACACTTCTGACTGCTATTTTTGGGGGGGAGGAGAAAATGGGAGAGGTCGGGCTATGATTGAACAATGGACATAGGTGCTGGATCATTTGACTGAGCACCTCATGGATTGTTTGACTGAGCACCCCATAGATTGTTTGACTGAGTGCCCTATCCCAACTTGACGCTCCACTGATCATTGACCTCCAAGTTGCCCAGAGTCTAAGTTGCTGCAGCAATTTCTGTTGCTGAGGGCAGATATTTGGTCCAGGCCTTATCATATACTATAGTAGAAGGCCAATACACCCAGATTGGGACCTTAAAGTGTTCAAACATTAGCACATCCATGTCCCAGCTCAGACCATAGGCACTATTAATGATTATGCCAGTGCACGATATGGTATCTCTGAGATCCCCAACAAATGTACAGGAGAGTTTGACCACCCATGTAGATGGTATGGGACATTGAGGATCTTTGGTCAATAAAGAGATCCAGTCAGAATCACCATGGGGTCTATATTGACAAGCCATGATGAAGTATGTGCAGAGGGCTGAGATCTCTGAGAACAAATGTGATCAGCCATGATCAGCAGTGCATACAGATGAGCACCATATCTATGAATGCATCATGAGATCTCAGGGCGATCTTCTTTGCAAGCCTCACATTGGCATGAGACCTCAGGTACCTGTAGTCTCTCAGAGGTCTTGGAGGTTGGCCATACTAAGGAAAATATATGTTCACCACCAGTCATTGCTGGTGCCAGAGTAGCTTCTGCTCTAGACTTTCCCATGCTTGCCAGATGTTTTTATGCAAGATATAGTAACCATTAGGTGTAGACTCTATAGGCAAAGAGTAGAGCAAATGGTTAAGGCAGCCAGAGACAGCCCCATCACAATGAGGCTTTGCTACAATAAGGGGAAACCATGGGCATGTCTCATAAGCCCACTGTGTGGTCAATGCATCCTTGATATTGTCAGAGGAAGAATCAGACTTGAGGTAGGAATTCTAAGGTTGAGGAATAGAAAGGATCATTGCAGAAAGCGAAGACACATTGAAAGATGTGAAAATTCACTTGTTGTGCACAAATACATCAAGCTTGGGAGTAGTCGCCATGGGCGGCATAGTTGGGTGATGGAAGAAGATGAGAAACAGTACAAACCATTGCACACAACAGGAGAGAAACACAACAAGCAATAGTACAGACTGTTGCATGCAAGTGTGATCAGCACTTGATAGAAGACCTAACTGAAACTAAAGAACAAGCCTGCAGGGTTGAAATTAGAAGCACAATGTCTAAACATGGACAGTCGAGTGGAATGCACCCAGCAGTACAATATGGCCAAACAAACACTCATAGGTAGAACATGCCCAGCAGTACAGACCACTGGGCAATGGAGGTTATGAGCTAAAGAGCAGACTCAGCAGTACAGACCGCTGAGCCAAGAAGCTGACAGGGACATTTGGGCCTGCAGTTGAATTTGAAGGTTGGATTTGCACATGACTTTATTTGTAGGTGTTTGTACTGTCCAATGAATTGATTCTAAGTTAGGCTTACCTTTGGCTTGCCTTAAGTGCTATATTTGTCTGTACTTTCCTTATTTCAAACCCTACCTGATGTGACGGTCTGTACTGTCACATCTATCCCTTGTCCTTTCCTCCTTTGACAGGATGGTCTGTACTGTTGTGTCTACTGGATACTGGGCTTCAACTGGGTTTTTCATCCTGGACTCTTGATATGGTGGTATGTACTGCCATGTCATTCTTTCGTCACCTGACTCCATCGGGCTATTGTACACTGTTCAACACTACACTACATTCTGTCTCCATCCATTGAGCTATGGTACACTGTTCAACACTACACTACCATGACTCTCATCCACTGAATTCTTTCATCGGAGATTAATAACCTCTCAACTTGATGCTTGGTCAAACCTGTGAGCCATTCCTTGTTGTACAATGCTTCAGGCAATCCATCCACTTCTCTTCTGGATGTCATTGGATTCCCGGCTGACTGTATCCATTTCATCGGCTTTGAACCTTGAGGGGCAAAAATATCATTGTCTACGATCCTTTGGCGATCAATAATATCCAATTCCCATTCAATCGCACAGTGCCAAGTCATGTTCTTGATGCAAAGAACCATTTCAATTTTATTTTCCATGTTACTCTCCTCCAAACTCATGCCGCCTTCTCCCAACATCCCAACTACTCACTGAAGCCACTCCCAGGCTGGGATGTCTTCCTTGTTCTTGTCCATCCTGTGCTTGACGAGATGATTAAGAACCATGACTCTGTGAAGATATTTCTGAGAAGGTGTCAGTATCAGATTAGCATGGAGCTCATGGACATACATTTTTCCGACACATTGTTTGATGAGTTGCTTTCAATGTCTTGTCCTTCTTCGTGATCAGCCTCTGCTCTACCTCTGCAGGAGTCTCCACTCCACCCATTGCTGTAACCTTGGGTTGTGCAGCCATCCAGATCATACACAGGTGCTTGTAGTGAGCTTGAAGAATTTCCCTGAAATATGCCTCTGACCTTTGAAATGGCCAGCTCTCTATGTCATCCCTTCTCTGCAATTCTTCAAGGAGCAAGCCAATGACCTTATCATTCCAGGGGCTTTTGGATCTGCATCTGAGATCAAAGGCAAGATCTTCACAATCAGGACCTGGGCTGTCTTCATATTCATACAAGTAGACATCCTCATGACTAGCTGCCTGATGGAGTATGAAATTGGTGTCTTGAGACATGTTGAAAATTTCTTTGAAGAGATGCTGCACTTCTCCCTATATATAACTGTAAGTTGCAGCTTCCATACCACATTTTGGCTTACCAAAATAAGGTCTCTTTCATAACTTTTATCGGCTACCTTCTCTTGCTGGAGTTCTTTCTTCTCTATCTTTCTCCTCTGGGGACTGTGCTTTTTGATGACCAGGAATTCTTTGTCAATTAGAACTCATCTCGGTGCAGTTTCTATGCCTCTCGCAATCGCATTTTCCATTGTGGTAGCAGGAGACATGTCATATTGTAGATATGGTGGTGCATCTTGTTCAGATGAGTGTTCTTGAGGTACTTCCTCTTCATCCACCTATTACTGTGTAAGTTTACACCACAGTCAACAGCATCAAATGCTTACCTCCACTGCTACTGATACAAGGTGAACTCTGTGTGATATCCAATGAGTTCTCTTTATCCTCTTTATAGCTTCAAAGCATGAGGTATCTGATCGTGGTTTTGTGGTATAACACTCGGATTGGCATTGGGCACATATCCTGCCAAATTCACATATTACATTCCTTAACATTCTTCTGACCTTCCAAAAGTTCTGTGTGCTTGTCCAAGTCGTCCGAAGGCCATCCATTTACTTCCAAGGCCTTTTTAGCTTTTCCGGTCCTCCATACCCATGTCCTGTCCTTGTCCGTTTGACTTTGCTGGTGTGTTTTTCACTTGGTTATCTGTTATTGATTATGTCTAGTGGCACATACATCAAAAACCCTTGCTAATACATATAGATATGTACCTCATGCATTATTCATGTATATCTTTGTAGCAGCTCACCTTGAGTCTTATTACAATTTGGATGTCTTATCTCACTACAGTTTTTGTCTACACAGATTCCAGACATTCACACAGTAGGATATAATCTGGCTCACTAAATACTCACAACTCACTTCACTTCCCTTGCTACAAGTCATAGTTAGTAGAGTCACTTTTGGATCTTAGTATTTTGTGCAATTGATCTTTGTTCATTCAGAATGATTGTTTGGCCTGACTGCTGCCATTTTTGCTTATTGATATCCTTGAGTCTTTTGACAGACTTCACATAGTTTTACTATGCAAGTTCTATACTTCAACAAACTGCTGTATTTATTACTGGAAGCCTTGTTGTTTCACTGGAAGCTCGCCGGAAGCTTCACACAAGCTTGGACCTTTGTTTCTCAATGTTGGACCTCAACTGGACATCTTGGACAACTCATCGGACACTTCAGACAATTCTTCGGAACTCTGAATGTACTTGAGGTATCCTTTCCTTCTCTCTCCTTCGATCTTAACAAGATATCCCTTGCATTTTATATCAAGAGATAATCCTACAGGCAGTCTCTTTGGGACAAATATTTCACTTGCACTTTTGAGTCTTAAGGTAACACTTGTTGTATAGCCTACCAGGAATTTACTTTTTACAGTGGTGTAACATTCAAGCTGGCACTGAGCTCATATTTAGCAATTCCACACATGAGCCCCTTCAGTGACAAATTCCGTATTATACGGGCCACCCGACCTCCATAATATCCCGTATGAGATGGGCCAGCTGATCATGGGCCCATGTTGTGTATATTCTTGATGATGACGGATGGGCCGGGACACATATTATTTCCGATGGAGACGGGTGGGCCCATGTATGCCAATGATATATATATCCTTAATGTTGACGGATGGGCCGGGGGAATATGATCATTCATGGAGATGGGTGGGCCCATCTGGGTAATATGTAGAGTAGGATATTATAGACAGCTGGGCTGAAGAGAGATGTAAGGCAAATATTGTTATATAGACGGGCGGGCCGACGTGGGTGTATTACATATATGGGTGGGCCGAGGTAGGGAAATATTACATAGACGGGTGGGCTGACGTAGGGTGTATTACATATACAGGTGGGCCGACATGGAATGTATTACATATACGGGTGGGCCGACGAAAGGGATATCAAATAGACCGGTGGGCCGAGGGTGCTATAAAATATTTATTACATAGACAGGTGGGCCGAGGTGGGGTATAATTATATAGACGGGTGGGCCGATGCAGGATGTATTATATAGACGGGTGGGCCAACATAGGATGTATTACATAGATGGGTTGGCTGACGTGGGGGATAATACATAGATGGGCGGGCCGTCGGGGGTGTATTACATATATGGGTGAGCCTAGATATGTTCCATCAAGACATACAGCTGATGTAGCCACCAGCGAATCAAACACATAGGATACATGTACACTATGAGTGCATATACCTACCATCAACCACCAAATCTAAACCCCTAAGCACAAAAACATGAATCGATCATGTGTGGCATTGACCAATAATCCAGGACTGAAGTGGAAAAACCCCACACCTGAACCCTGGTGTGCAACAAATCCTATTTCTAAGCATGGACACCAGAAGCACAACACTCACAAAAATATATATGTCAAATTTTCAGTGCCAAACCCCAAACCGAGATGTACCAACCCCTGAAACCCGAAACCTGAGACTGCCGGGTCTCAGGTATCGGGTGTCCGGAACTCGGAACTTGGGAGAATTTGGGGAGATCAATACAATTTAATTTACAATCGAGTTGATTGACAACACATTGACTTACCCATGTTTGCAATATATTTTTGTTTAGACATACCGAGTTCCGAGTTCCGGACACCCGATACCCGAGACCCGAGACTGCCGGGTTTCGGGTGTCAGGTGTCCGGAACTCGGAACTTGGGAAAGTTTGGGGAGATCAATACAATTTGATTCACAATCAAGTTGATTGACAAACACATTGACTTAACTATGTTTGCAATATATTTTTGTTTAGACATACCGAGTTCCGGACACCCGATACCTGAGACCCGGCAGTCTCAGGTTTCGGGGTCCGGGGGTCCGGAACTCAGAACTCGGTATGTCTAAACAAAAATATATTGCAAACATAGTTAAGTCAATGTGTTTGTCAATCAACTTGATTGTGAATCAAATTGTATTGATCTCCCCAAACTTTCCCAAGTTCCGAGTTCCGGACACCCGACACCTGAAACCCGGCAGTCTCGGGTCTCGGTATGTCTAAACAAAAATATATTGCAAACATGATTAAGTCAATGTGTTGTCAATTAACTCGATTGTAAATTAATCTCCCCAAATTTCCCCCGAGTTCCGAGTTCCGGACACCCAATACCCGAGACTGCCGGGTGTCGGGTGTCGGGTGTCCGGAACTTGGAACTTGGGAAAATTTGGGGAGATCAATACAATTTGAGTCTCGGGTATCAGGTGTCCGGAACTCGGAACTCGGGGGAAATTTGGGGAGATCAATACAATTTGATTCATAATTGAGTTGATTGACAAACACATTGACTTACCCATGTTTGAAATATATTTTTGTTTACACATACTGAGTTCTGAGTTCTGGACCCCCCAACCCCAAAACCCGAGACCCAGCAGTCCATAATTCTGGGGTTCAGGGGTTGGCAAAATGTGTATGAATATATGAAAGGTTGAATGAAACATTTTTGAAAGATGTCTCATATCAAATGTTAAGTCCCGAGTTTCGAATTTCGGGTTTCAAGACTCCAGGTTTCGGGACTCGGCACTCCCAAAATCCAGAAGTTGAAACTTGGGATTTGACATTTGATATGAGACATCTTTCAAAAATGTTTCATTCAACCTTTCATATATTCATACACATTTTACCAACCCCCGAACCCCAGAATTGTGGACTGCCGGGTCTCGGGTTTCAGGGTTCGGAGGTCCGGAACCCGGAACTCGGAACTCAGTATGTGTAAACAAAAATATATTTCAAACATGGGTAAGTCAATGTGTTTGCCAATCAACTCAATTGTAAATCAAATTTTATTGATCTCCCCAAATCTCCCCAAGTTCCGAGTGCCGGGACCCCCGAACCCCGAACCCCGAGACTGCCGGGTCTCGGTGTTCGGGGGTCTGGAACTCGGAACTCGGTATGTAGAACAAAAATATATTTTCAACATGGGTAAATCAAATTTTATTGATCTCCCCAAATTTCCCGAGTTCCGAGTTCCGGGACCCCCGAACCCCGAGACCTGGCAGTCCACAATTTCGGGGTTCAGGGGTTGGTAAAATGTGCATGGATATATGAAAGGTTGATTGAAACATTTCTGAAAGATGTCTCATATCAAATGTCAAGTCCCGAGTTTTGATTTCTGGGTTTCAGGACTCTGGGTTTCGGGACTCCGGGCTTCGGGACTCAGCACTCTTGAAACCCAGAAATCGAAACTTGGGACTTGACATTTGATATGAGACATCTTTTAAAATGTTTAAACCAACCCTTCATATATCCATACACATTTTACCAACCCCCGAACTCCGAAATTGTGGACTGCTGGGTTTCGGGGGTCCGGGGTCCCGGAACTCGGAACTCGGAATTTGGTATGTAAGACAACAAAAATATCTTTCAGGGTTCAGGGGTCAGTGAAATGTTTATAGATATACGTAGATTAATTCAAACATGTCTGAAAAATTTCGTTCATCTCAAATGTCAAATCCTGAGTTCCGGACTTTGGGACTCAGCACCCGGCAGTCAGGGTTGGGGGTTCAGCACTGAAAATTTGACATTCGGGTGTTCAGGTTTTGGGTGATATCTAAATCAACAACTTCGAGTTCTGCCAAAGCGTGAAACTTGAAACCCAGTGTGCAACATGTTGATTTTTCATTTATATCACACAAATCATCGAGTTCCGAGTGCCGAGGGCTGAGACCCAAAGCCTGAGACCTGAAAATATGTACACAACATGTCCATTTTTCACTCACTGCACAAATCGCCGAGTTTCGAGTGCCAAAGCGTGAAACTTGAAACCCAGTGTGCAACATGTCCATTTTTCATGTACATTACACAATTCATTGAGTTCCGAGTGCCGAGGGCCGAAACCCGAACCCCGAGACCTGAAAATATGTATGCAACATTTCCATTTTTCACTTGTTGCACAAATCACCGAGTTTCAAGTGCTGAAACCCGAAACTCGAAACCCAGTGTGCAACATGTTCATTATTCATTTACATTACACAGATCATTGAGTGCCAAGGGCAGAATCCTAAAACCCGAAGCCCAAAAACATGTATGCCACATGCCCATCTACTCATTGCACAAATCACCAAGTGTCGAGTGCCGAAACCCGAAACCCGGTACTTCAAATCAGTAGTCGGGTACTTGGTACTTGGTTCTGATACTTGGTACCCGAGAATCAGTAGTCAGGTACTTGGTACTTGGTTCTAATTCTCGGTACCTGGGAATCAATAGTTGGGTACTCCAGCCAATAGTCCCGAGTCCCGAGTACTGATATTTGGTATTTGGTAGTCAGGTTTGGAACTTGGGTCTTGGTTTGGTTATCATTTGACTGAGATATTGGTAGGCAATATTGGCACTCGGAGCTCAAATACTGACTATCAACTATCAAGTGTCGGGACTTGGTAATCGGTAGTTGAGACTTGGTGCTTAAATGGATATTGCATATATACATAAAAATACAAAATATGTTCCTATGTGTTCATTTCTAGGTGAACAGACTTTGGAATTATATCTCAATCATCTATTCAACAATAGAAACAATGTATCAGGAGCTCAGGACCATAGGGTAATCCTTTATTGTATAGTGTACCTCCCCCTCTTCTGGTGGTTCACCCGCTGGGGGTTTTTCCCTGTAAAGCTGGACCTCAAGGACTGTAGGGAGTCTATTCCTGAGCATATTCGGAGTAGATATATCATATAACCAGCCCAGGACACATAGGATCCTTCTCCAGGAACAAAGCATAGACAATTGCACTTGTGACATTTTTTCACAATTTTCAGTATCTTGCCCTTGCATCCATGATCCAACCTTTTAATATATAATGAGCATAGCTTATATTCTTGCTTCTTATGACCAAGATCAGCTCACAATAGGCTGGAGTTTGTGAGCTAGTGTGCATACTTGCCATTTT